ATGTTTTCTGTAAATCATATGCAGAATTATTTTTAGAACTGTTTATATTTCCTGGCCAATTCTTTCCCCTTCCAGGTATTACTGGCTTTAGGAAACATCACACTGGTCTGCACAGAAAACTAAGCCCCAAGAGTCTTTCCTGTGCCCATGTACTGCCTATTGAGCTTTTCTTTTTTCTTTTTTTTGGTTGGTCATGGGGCTTGAACTCTGGGCTTGGGCACTTTCCCTCAGCTCGTCAGCTTAAGGCGAGTGCTCTACCGCTTGAGCCACAGAGCCATTTCCAGTTTTCTAGTGCTTTATTGGAGATAAGAGTCTCATGGACTTTCCTGCCTGGGCTGGCTTTGAACTGTGATCCTCAGATCTCAGTCTCATGAGTAGCTAGGATTCCAGGCATGAGCCACCGGCACCTAGCCTTTTTCTCTTTTTGAACATTTTGCTACCTATAACAAATTTCAGGATATTTGCTACTTTAATCAAAATCTTTTAAGTGTTAAAGTATATTAATGTCCTGTTTAGAAAACTTGGGAGAAGATTTCATTATTGCACCTGACCTAAATTATTCAACCATCCTATACCTCACAACGTCTCATCAGGCTCAAAATACTGTTCCAAAAATGGGGAATGAGGGCAATGGGAGGAGTGAGATTGGTCTGGATGCATTACATTCTTTGTACAACTGATGTACTAATAAAAACATTTGAAATGCACAAATTTTAAAAAATAAATGGATGAGTTTTGACATTTGTGACAGTTCTGAAACTATCATATCAATGAAGATATAGAACAGCTGATTCCAATTTTTATGCCCTGTGTTAATACTGAGAACTAACTTCTGGGACTGAGATTGGCGACCACCTCCAAATCACATACACTGTGGGAAAAGACATTTCCTGGGGAAAAAAATGAGTGTGGCACAAAAAAAGGGAGAAAATAATCGTGGAAGATAAAATCAACTCTGACTCATGACTGACCGGGTACCTAATACTGAATGTTCTCATTAATGCTATGCTTGAATGGTCCTAACAACACTTGTATTTTGGCATGTGGCTGTTGCTATGGGGAAATTGATCATTAAAGATGAAGTTAAACATTGTAAAGAAGCTTTTTAAATGAACTGAGGGTCATGATGTTAACCCAGTTAGACATGCAGGTACTTTTTTCTATCACAGCTTCTCAAAAGTATAGAAAAGCAAAAATCTAAGCATTGAGAGCACTGTGGGTATTTGATCTACTGCACTTATAAAACTAATCAGGACCTGAGTCCCTACTGAATAAAAAGAGAAGACAAGATTGCTGAAATAGAGGCATAGAAAGTGATCAAACTATGGGCTGAAGTTAAATGTTTTTCATCTTCATAGTAGAATGTTGTCAGTATCTAAAAATAAAACGCCTACAGATGATAAAGTTTTTCCAGTAAGAAGCGCTCTATTTTCCATTTACCCATAATTAGGCATAAATAAAATCCAGGCTTAGAAATTACTTATATTGCAAGACTACTTAAAACAACAGGATAGGGATATTTTGTTGAGGCAGTAAACAATTCACATAACAAATACAGATATCCCAGACTGAAAAACAGAACAAACATTTGAAGAATTCAAGTAAATATACTGTTTTTGTATCAACATTCTTTCCACTGTACCACATTGTCTTCAGAATTAAAAACCTCATATTCTTTAGACAGGGTTGTCCAAGAAAGAACTTTTACCCCCAAATTAAGAGAATAGAAAGCAATATTTTTGCCACTTAGAAGACAAGGAAGAAAGAGTATTCCCCTCAATATATGCTATTGTCCAAGAAGAAAGGATGAAAGTCAAAGAAGGGGCAAGGAAAGGAAGTAGAGGGGAACAGAGGAGAAGGGAGGAAAGGAAAAAGGAGGAGAGGGAGGAAACAGACTTTATATTAGTTTCTACCCTAGACTAATTTGGTTTTTATTAGGGAAAGCAGGTTGGAGTATAATTATTTTTTTTCCTGAGACTTTAAAAAGCCAGTTTTAAATAGTGTAAAGATATATCATTAGATATAGTGAAAATTTTCACAATAAAAAAGTAGAAAAAAAAGATCATTAGGACAATAAAAGATTTGCTTGTATATTATTTAGAGTTCTTAAAATGTCTGATATTTTGAAGTACTTTGTAACAGAGTTAGAGGGCCAAGGTATTTTTATAGATCTCCTTAGTTTGATTAACTTCCACATTGAATACAACACTAATAATTATAGTTTATGGATTTCTGTAAAGAATTTTAGCCATACACATATATATATACATACACACAGATATATACATATGTGAATATATTTATGTGTATGTATAGACTTGAATATGAATGTGTGTTTCTATCTATGTATGCATGCACTCATGCACATGTGTATTTCAAAGTTATGATGTGACATTTGTCAATAAGTGTATTGCTTCCTCACTAAACCTGGTCCCTGAATTGAATAGTGTGTCACATGTAAGCTGGATACAACACACACACACACACACACACACACACACACACACATATTCTTTAGTTGGGGTCAAGAGGCCAATAGATAGGGCTATATTCTCGAAGAAACTTTGTTGTGAGTAGTATGTGTTTGAGAAGATTGTGTTTTTGAGGGGAACCTTGGATTTGACCTCAGGTCTGTGGTCAATGGAATTTTCTTGCAAACATAGACAAATGAATCTCGAAAATGACAAGAATGTCATTTCTTATTTCTTTAGGCTTAATTTTTCTAGTTTGTAGAAAGAAGAAAGAATATTCTGGAGCCAGGCACCGGTGGCTCACACCTATAAAAGTCCATGAGACTCATCTCCAAAGAACCACCAGAAAACTGGAAGTGGCACTGTGGCTCAAGCAGTAGAACATTGGCTTTGAGCTGAAAAGCTCAGGGTTCAAGCCTCATGACCAAGAAAAAAAAGCAACCCCTCTCCAAAAAAAAACCCAAAATATTCTGGAGGACAAATCTAACTTGCAAAAGTTTGGCATTTTGGGGGTGGAATGTGGCTTAGTGGTAAGAGAGCTTGCCTAACATGCATGAAGCCCTGGGTTCGATACCTCAGTATACATAAACAGAAAAGGTTGGAAGTGGCACTATGGCTCAAGTGGTAAGAGTGCTAGCCTTGAGTTCAAGCCCCAAGACTGGCAAAAACAAAAAACAAAACAAAAAGTTTGGCATTTTTACTTTCCTTACAGATAATTACAATGAAATCCAGTTTAGGCTTTCGATAAATCATAGTTTAGAAATTTTTTTCTAGTTTACAATTTAGTTGCTATCATTTAGACTTGGTTGTTCTTTCAGAACATGTAAGAGAGAGTTGCAAAAAACAATACATACTGTTTCTAGATTTCCACAATTAAACTTGAGTATGTTCTAGCTCCATTTGCAAAAAGTCTGAAATATTTTTCCATTGCCAGAGATGAGACTGGAAAGTCTATCTCAATTGGCAATGGAATTTTAGAAAAAAAGACAGCATTATACTATGGATAATCATAAATATGAAGACAAGAAACATATGTGTATGTAGACATATGTATATGTAGACATATAGATATATATATAGATAACATTTGTATTGTAAGAACATTAGGTGTAAGCCCTACTGTAGGATGGGGGAAATTAGCACTTCATGGCTGTGAGTATAAGATACCATTTTTATAATCATCTTTATTTCTTCCAACAGAGAAGAAAACTACTATCTTACTTTAGGATTATAAAGTAAAAATGGGTCAGGAACATTTCTTCTTGCCTATATCCCTTTTATTTGGTCACATTTCCTCTCCTGACACTATTAGTCCAGAATTACATTTTTTAAAAAATGACTTAGTTGAATTTTTATCCTTTGAAATTACTCTCACTAGATTTCTTATAAATCAAATCTTCGCTGAAGTGAATTTTCACTTATTTTTAAAGTTCTCAGTCCCTAAGGAGCACTATATTCTTTGAGTTATTTTGGTTAGGATTTTATAATTTAGTTTTGCCTAGAGTTAGGATTTCAGATGATTTAAAGCATTTTTAATTTTCCTTTTAGTAGTAACTCGTGAAATATACCTAGCCTTTTAGAAGATATATATTTTTCAGGAAAATAAAAGTCCCCAAATTTTCATATTCCTATAGATTCACACCATTTTAGAGAAGCTATCTAATTTAAACAGTTTCAAAAACTAGTCTCACTCAAACATTGCTATTTAACTTTCCAAAGAAGCTTGAGATGTTCACAGAAATTTGTGAATCCTGACTATCATATTTAAGTTACTCACCAGAAGTTCTTTCTTATTCATTAGGTTTCACTAAGTATGTCACCAAGAAAGAGATAAAGAGATAATACTTAGATAAAAATACTGTTTTATCTTATCTGTCTCCTCTGAAATGGTAAATCTAAGGCAGGTTTTATCAATGTTTGAATTATTGACATTTTGGGTTGGGTTTTTCTTTTTTGTGGGGGAAGGGACTGTCATGTGCAAGGTAGAAAATTAGCAATATCTCTAGCTACTTTTTTTTTCTTTGTCGATCGTGGGGCTTGAACTCTGGGCCTGAGCACTGTCCCTCACCTCTTCAGCTCACTTGAGCTACCGAGCCACTTCCGGTTTTCTGGTGGTTTATTGGAGATAGGAGTTTCACATACTTTCCTGCTGGGACTGGCTTTGAACTGTGATCCTCAGATCTCAGCCTCCTGAGTAGCTAGGATTACAGGCATGAGCCACTGGTGCCCAGCAATCTCTATCTATTTCTAACAAATAGATGCCCATAATAAACCCCTACTCACTCCTAGAGGGAAAAGGAGGCCACAGATGCTGCTAAACCTCCTACTATGCACAGGAAAGCCTTCTACAACAACTGATAATACAGCCTAAAATGTCACTAGTATAAGTTAATAGTGTCTTATCTTGGTTTTTATGAATGTCCATGTAACAAAAAAAAAATGTCCCCAGACATTGTCAAAGGTCCCTGGTAATGAGAGGTAGGAATTCTGGGGGAAGGCAAAATGGCACCACAGGAGAACTGCTACTCTATAAAGAATACAATTTTATACATCACCTAAAGATTGTAGTAGACTACAATAGGTTCTTTTTTTTTTAACAGAGGCATATAACAAGGGAACAAAAACTTCATGTCAGTGAAAAATGAGTCATTTTCTGTGCAACAACATCTGATTGCAACTGAATCTCAGGTAATTTCAAAGTCATTGCTCTGTAAAAAGAACCACTCACTTGTAAGTTCATCTTCATCAGTTTCTCCCTCAAATTCATTTCTGTACAGATGGTTTACATCCTCTATCTGTGGTGAAGTTGTCATGGTACTACTCTGTTCTTTGTTTGCTTCACATTCTTGAACATAGCTGCTTTCAAACTTATGTAAGGTTAAGATACTACAAGAAGCAGGGATAAGTATTTCCTTCTCCAGAGTTAATGCAGAATAATCAACTAGCAGATCCTCACTTCCTGATTTTAGATTTTGAAAGAAACATTCTATAGGGAGATGTCTGATAAGATTATGAAGACACTGGAACAAAACTGTTTGATTCCTGAAATAAAAAAACAAACATAATTTACCAAATCAAGGCAACATAAAGCCATAAAAAATACTGTTGTCATCAATTATTATTGATTTGCAAACAGCATAATCACAAATAAAACAAAACCGCATATGATCATTGATAAAATTCTGACTACAGCCTTCCAATGTACATAGCCTATTCCAATTCAGTTAATAATATTAACCAAGGTACTTCCTGATTTTTATTCCTGAGTAGTAACATCAATAAAATAGGTTTTAAGTTCCACTATGGAAACAAGGTAAAAGGAGATTTAGTGGTGCACATAAACGAAACTCAAAAATTAAAAGATACCTTTTTAATCTGTAAATAGTGCCAAATCAATTCATTTACCATATACCAGGTATGGCTCTGAATTGTCCCACAATAGTATCAAACTCTTCACGGAGACCTCATGCTCACTATGTTCACACATGCTACCTTTCTCTGGATTGATTCCAACTTAAGATGCATTACCTGGTATATATTGTTAAAATGCCTTCAAATTGTGTTCTTTGTTTCCACTTGAAGAGTGTCCCATAGACATCTCTTGGCTCTATACAAACGCATATTTCTGGAAATTCTTTGATTACTTCACAATTCATGTATTCTACAAGCCACATCTTCATTAAATTCAGGGCACTGTCAGATGATGTGACTTGAAAACAGTTTTTGTTCAACGCTGTGAGAAGTGCAAAAAGATCTTCTATATGCACTACAAAGAAATAGTTCACAAGTTCTATCATTAAAATCAGTGCATTATCAAATCGTCTCAAAATGTTCTGATTCAATTAAGTATATGATTAAAAAGTATGTACAAAATTACCTGTTGGTTTCTTCTCTGGAAATGTCAGTAGGAATTTCTCGTTTGAAAGATCTTCAAGACTTATATAAAGTCTGCCACATGAAATAAAGCGATTTTCAGGACTTTTACCATTTTCTCTCTCCTTAGTTTGTAGTAGCACAATACAACAAAATTTATTCAATGATAAAAATGGTGAAAATGATGTCACACCAACAATTATCTCTTCACACTCTTTCTTAGATGGCTGTTCACCAACAAAGCTTTCCTCTTTCTTGTGAGGCAACTTGATCCTTTTTGCCTCAGATCCTATTTCATGTGGCTTCACTTGTGGTGCTGAGAAAGAATCCGTAGTCAATCTAATCACCTTATTTTGACAGTTAATTAACCGAGAGACAGGATTATAGGTTTTATCGATTAATAGCGATAACGTCACATCATTCAGGGAACTGAAAAAAATAGAGCATGGCTTACTCTATAAACTCTACTTTTAAAGTCAAATAGATGATTAAATACTCATATAAACAACCAAAAATCCATTCTCTTTTTTTAGGAAAATATTATTTCAACTGTAAATGTAATGAATGATTTAGAGAAAATGGAAATTATGGAAAGAAAATATGGAAAGCAGAGAAATATATTACGTAATACCAAGGATAAATCATCAAAATCGAACATACTGTTCAGTTTCCTCAAAATATACATTAGAAGACCATATATATTGACATACATACACACACACACACACACACACACACACACACACACACATACAAATCAAGTCTGATTTATAGAACTTATATTGGTCCAGGATTTATGTAATCAATTTGAAATTGAGACAAGTAGGAAAAGTAAACTTCTACCAGGGTTAATTTCTGGTGGGTAATTAAATATATTTTAAAGTCCTTGGGTTTTTAGGTATACAATGATACAGTTACAGATAAAATAGTATAATACCTTTCATGCTTTAAATCTGGGGGTAGGGGTGATGAATGAATGGAGATATATATGAAACAAGATTAGTAATAAGTTGTTACTAGAGTTCAATGAGGGGCAAAGAGAGCTCACTATAATATTCTCTTGACATATGCAAAGTTTTCTGTATATATAAACATTTTTAAAGAAAGTTTGCTAAACATATTAAGGAAATAAAAAAATAAGGGGAAAATATAAGAAAATAAAAAATGACCACTCAGTCGGCCACTGGTGGCTCATACCTGTAATACTAGCTACTCAGATCAGGAGGATGAAATCTGAGGATCTCTATTTGAAGCTGGCCCAAGCAGGAAAAAAATCAGTGAAACTCTAATCTCAAATTAACTAGCAAAAAGCCAGAAGTAGAACTATGGCTCAAGTGGTAGTGCTAGCCTTGAACAAAAAAGCTCAGGGACCTCAGTCAGCCCTGTGTTCAAGCCTCAGGACCAGCATATAAAAAGACTTAGATCTGGAAAGAGCAAACTATAATTATTGTAAGCTTACAATAATTATAAATAGTAAAGAAAAACCAGAAAGTAAATGATGAGGTTAAACAGGTGAAATAGGCTAAGTTAGTAAACAAAAAATAGACCAGAAGGTACTACTTAAGACTCATCAAGATATGAAGCAAACACAAAAATATGCTAAGCAAGCCGGACGCCAATGGCTCACGCCTGTAATCCTAGCTACTCAGGAGGCTGAGATCTGAGGATCGCAGTTCAAAGCCAGCACGGACAGAAAAGTCCATGAGACTCTTATCTCCAATAAAAACCACTAGAAAACCAGAAATGGCACTGTGGCTCAAGAGGTAGAGCACTTGCCTTGAGTTGAAGAGCACAGGGACAGTGCCCAAGCCCAGAGTTCAAGCCCCACGACAGACCAAAAAAAAAAAAATGCTAAGTAACATAGAGTACAGAAAGAATTAGCCTAACAGGATTTCCCAGACTGCATGGAATTCCACAGAGATAGTAGAGACAATGAAGAAGCTTCATTACTTGAGCTATACTTCCAGCTACTGATGATCACTTATTAATTTCATAAATGCCATCTTCTTCATAATAACTTGCATAGATACTTGCACAGCTGTGTTGGCCAAGACAAATGGCTATTAAGTCCTAAATATGTGGCTAGTGTCAACCTCATGCATTAGAGATACAAAATACAAACTGAAATTTAAAAGTATATGAAAAAATAAGCCTACAGTATCTTATCAATAATTTTTATACTCATTATATGTTGAAATGACGTTTTAGATATATTGAATTCATCAAAGCAATAAAATTAACTCACTTGTAAAATTTCCTGGGTGGCCTTAATTTCTTTTTTATTGTTATTATAAAGGTGTTGTACAGTATGGTTATAGTTACATATAAGTTAGGTAATGGGTACATTTCTTTTTGAACAGGGTTACCTCTTCCCTGGTTTTCTCTATTTTTCCCTCCTGATCCCCCCATCACAAGTTATGCAGTTCATTTTCAACATAGTATCTAATGAGTATCATGGCTGCATTTGTTCACTCTTTGTCCCTCCATTTCTGTGCTAATTTCAATTAGACACTATTAGTGTAGACTCCAAACCAGAGGGTAACAAGGTGTCATCATGTTAAAACTTACTTACACCATCAAAGAAGATGTGGTTTTTACTCCAACAATTAAATTATCATCCAATACACGATACCATATCTTCTCTATTTGCTGGTCTGAATGATGAAAAACGTCTGGCAACTTTTCATTGAAGGTATTGGCAGATTCTTCTTCCTCTTCTCCTTCCCCACAAAAATGAACAAGAGGTACCTTACAGAAAAAAGTTTAAGTAGGTGATTACAAAATGCACTCAATATAACAAAATGAAATAATGTAAATCAGCCTTGGGTTAGTGTTTATGGCCTAAAAACACCAAATAAAGTATAGACTATTATATATTTAATTATATATAATTTAATAAAATAAAAATTATGAATTAAATGTATATACTTATATGCATATATTTAACTATCTACTCAGAAGCATGGAATGATGAGGACAAGACGGATTATTCAACATAAAAGCAGCAGAAATATAATTCTATAGTCCATTAAAAATAGAATGACAATAAAATATGTACCATGGGTATAATGAAAGCAATCCAGTCTATACTTTTAAAACATTTTTATTAGTATATATTGGTTGTATGGGAGCTGAGGTATTGCACTGTGACAACTGAACTGAACCCATAACTGTAGTTTTGTATTAACAAAACTGAGTAAATTATATTTAGAGTTCATAAAATTTTTTGCTAGATTTTACTCTTGAAGTCCAAGCCATACTCAGTCATTTTCACGCATGTATAGATTATAATTACTGATAGAAATAGTAAAAGTAGTAGAAGTAATAATACATAATATATACTAAGTGCTTACTTCATGTTATGAAATGTTCTAAATGTCATTCATGCATCAATTCATTTCACTCTTACAATAACCTTAGTTATCTTAGGTCAGTTTTATTGGCATTTGTATTTTAGGCAACTTGCCCAAGGTCATGTAGCAATCAAGTAGTAGAACTGGGTTTTACCTGAAACAGACTGAACACAACTTATCCATTGTCTCTATCTGGTAATTACTTAGTAAAGAAAGGAGTACTTATACAATAGTGGTGATTCTGCCTGTAGTTGTAAGATCTAAGGTAGGCTATTTATCTGAATCCTAAAGAAACAGTTAACACATGACAATAGCAATTTTAAAAAATTGTTTTCAAAACGAATAAGTCAAATACGGACACTGAACATAGTGGCTTTAATGTATTCATTTCTTTCATATTTTTGGTAGTGCTGGGTTTAAACTCAGGACTTTGCACATGCTAGAAAGGAGCTTTGTTATTTGAGCCATGACTCCGGGTGATAAACTAAATTCTAAACATTCATTTCTCTTTCTAATATTGGCAAAATTATTGGGGAAAGTTAAGGAAAGGAATGAGGAGACTTTAACAATGAATTTTGTGGGGTCCCCAGGAAATTAGAACAGTAATATGTAAATGCAATATTAATAGGATAGCATTAATAGATTTATAACCTAAGACTGAAATATAGATGCAAGGCATACACTATGACAAAAATACAGCTGATTTAGGGGAAATTGGTTAGGTATTGAAGTGACTTGAGGTACTAAAATATAATAATAATTTTTTCTATGTTTAGGATTTCTTATTTATATTTTTTATTCTGGTCTTTATATATAATTAATATCTATAAGTGTGATTTTTATGAATTCTGATGATTTTTTCTAACAATTTATTATACTGGTATGAGTAAATATAAGATACATGAAGAAGTTCTTATAATGGTCAGCTACAAGGAAAAAAAGTAAAGTTATGACATGAAGATAGAAAGATTAAGAAAACAAAACAACTTCAGGACTTTTCCCAGAAGAATAAATGCTCTTAGAAATGAACAATGCCACTGACTAAAAGAAAACTTAACATCCTAATGAAATAATGTCATTGCCAAAGGATAGTTGTGTAATGCTTAGTATATTCTATTCAGAAATTCAGAAAATATATATTACACTGGAATAGCTTCTACCTAAATCATACAAATTGTAAAGTATAGGTATAGCCATTATGGAAATCAGCATGGAGGTTCCGCAAAACAACGAAAAATGTACTTACCTATAACCCAGTCATAGCACCTTTAGGCAAATACATGAAGGACAGGTATATGCATTACACAAGAAAGATACCTGCATACCCAAATTTATCACAGCTCTGTTCACAATAGTCAAACTGTGAATCAGCTACAGTACCCAATAATCAATGAATAAGTAAATATGATACACATACACATACAATGAGGTACTACTGAGCCACAAAGAAAAATAAATATTATATCATGCATAGGGAAATCAATAGCAACATCAAGTTAAGCATGATAAACCAAATCATTCTTGTTCTCCATGATCTGGAGATTAACTAATTGCTGCTGCTGATAGTGATGATGGCAGTAATGATATTGGGATGTAAAAGTAAAAGGAAGACTAGCTCTAGGAGATCATCAATGGGAAGAAAGAAAGAAGGGGATACAGAGAGGTGATAAGCATTGAAGGACACACACACCATACATGCATGTACAAAGACAGCATAATGAAACCCAACAACCCAACACAAAACTGTTTTCAAAAGTGGGGAAAAGGGAGAGAAGGAATGGGAAGTTGGTGGAGGAGGTGAATCTACTCAAAGAATACTGTGTGCATGTATGGAAATACCACAATGAAACCTTTTCTTACTAAATTATATATGCCAAGTCCAAAATAAAATAAAAATTTAATTGTTAAACATTTCTAAGCAAAAAGATTTATTTCCCAAGCTTATTAATATTTCACTAAGTGAGATTTTATACCCTACAGAATTACATGCAAATTGGCAAAATAACTGGCTCCTTAATCAGATGCTTCTTAAATCATAAGAGTTTGCCATTATGGGCTGGGAAGGTAGCTCAGTGGTAGAGCACTTGCCTTGCATGCCTGAGGCCCTGGGTTTGATTCCTCAGCACCATATAAGCAAAAAGAAAAAAGCCGGAAGTGGCGCTGTGGCTCAAGTGGTAGGGCGCTAGCCTTGAGCTGAAGAGCTGAAGGAGAGCACCCAGGCCCAGAGTTCAAGCCCCACGACCAGACCCAAAAAAAAAAAAAGTTTGCCATTATAATCCCTGTCACTTTTCTTCTTGATGCACTGAGCAGAATTTCTACAAAATTCCAATTTACATAACATCTCAATTGTTTGCAGATCTTCAATTCATAAAATGATGAAATAGTCACACGATTTATTTTACCTCCTCTATATTTGGTGCACTTTCATCTCGAATCACGTTTATTAAAGTTTTCCAATATTTTAAAATAAATTTTTCCTTAAGCAATAGAAGATCCTTGAATCTCTGAATTGCACCCAAATATACCTGTAGAAAGAAAAATAGTTACCAGAGACATAATTTCAAATGAAACCAGACATATCCTTAATTCATGAAACGCTTTCCCCCAATGCACTATCCAATTCATTTTTCTATAGAAAAGCAAAGAATAGTTCTCAGAGTAAAACTGTTTTATTTATACATACTGAATTTCTATTATAAAAGAAGTACTTTCTTGCCAAGTAAAATATAGCAAACAACTGTACTATAGAGTTTATGTATCAAACTGAGAGCACACCAATGCATTTGCATTCATTTAAGTACTCATTTAAAAAACTTACCATCAATATGAATAAAAATCAAATTTTTACAACATGCTTACCATTACAAAAAATCCCATGGCCTTCTTCCTGAAACAATTTCAACTTCAAAAAAATCCATACACATAGCAGATCTCATCATGAATAGAAATGATTACTTTGAATTTGACAGTTTTAAATTTTCTGTTCATGGAACCTTTACAGCAAAAGTTTAAAGATGCCACCGAACAACTTCCTTGTAAGTTTATTTGTATGCAATAAACTAGGGCTACAGTCAAATCTACTGGGAAAAAATTACTGAAAACTAATGGAAAGAAACACCACAAATTTAACTCTGAATTAGGCAGAGAAGTGCATTCCTTTTATCATACCCCATAGATTTCATCACAAAGGATAAAGCATTCATGAAATATATTTTGCTACTGAAAATTTAAAGAGTTGTGTCACTGAACTGATAGAAGTTGTTTCATCTCAGATGGATATCTAAGGCTGTTTAAGTATTAATCTGGCCTTTAATAAAACATGTTTTTCTATATTTAAAAAACAAAATGCAATCCCTGTTTGGATTTCTTTATAATTAAATTTTAAGGCAGGCAAGTTTTGTTGTTTCTTTTAAAATCAATGAATAGAAGTTGGAGGGTGAATAGAATTATTTCTATATCTTATCTCATTATACTAAGTATATAAAATGTCTAGCTAGTATTTTAAAACATCTCATGTTGACCTAGTTTTGTGGGTCCCATGTCTCTCACACTCCATCACTAATTTGCTCAGAAACTGGTTTGGGTAGAAGATCTAACCAAAAGCACATAGCCAAATACTCTGGTTTCTCTTCAGATTGTATAAATCTTTCACCTTTTACCAAAGGAATATATAGCCAAATCTGAGCCGCTGGATGGGAGAGAATAGGATAAGGGATGACATGGATAGACTGAAAATGAACCCTTAGAAATTAGCAGTGGTCTTTCTTCTTTCTTCATCTCAGGATATCCCCTTCCCCATGACAAAATGGGGAATCACTAGACAAGTTAAATAATATGTCATGAGGTTTTTGTTATAAAACTATAAAACAAAAATAAGCACACTGTAGAAATTAAAGCAGTAGAGAAGTGTACCTTGTTTTCTTTTTTTAGAGACTCAATCCCATTTGCAAATGCAACAGATTGCCCATATATATTTTAAGGGATGTTTGCTTTCTCCTTATGAACAAAAACTCACCTAAAAGCCAACACAGGAACTCCAATACAGGAACATCCTACACAATGTGACCCCAGACCTTGCATTCTGTCTTTTAGTATGAGCTATCATACATACACACAGAAGAGTGCACAATATAGAAAACAGTGTACACACTAAAGTGAAGTTAAAACCTGTATAACTACATCCAAGTCAAATGGGTAGAGCTGCCTGGGGCCCTGTACAATTGTGAATTTCCCCTTTTCCCCTGAAGGCAACACGTCCCTAGCTCCTTTAAGATAACTTCCTTGTTTCTTTTCATAATTTTGGCACCCCTCCATTCGTTTGTAAGGAAGGCATTTAGAGGGTTTTTTTCCTACTTTGTTTCTGAGTCTTTTGGATTATAGCAGCATTCTATGTGTATTAGGTTACAAAGTAATTGCATATTTTTTTATGTATATGCTGCTTCTGGGGCTTGAACTCAGGGCCTGGGCACTGTCCTTGAGCATTTTCACTTAAGACTAGTGCTCCACCACTTAAGCTGCTGCTCCACTATTGGCTTTTTGGTGATTAATTGGAGCTAAGAGTCTCATAAACTTTCCTGCCTAGGATGGCTTTGAACCATGATCCTCAGATCTCTTCCTCCTGAGTAGCTAGAATTACAGATGTGAGTCACCAGGACAAAGAATAACTGTAGACCTTTAATTATCTGACAATATTCCATTCTGTGATTATAATTTACTTTTTTTTTATTGATACAGATTTGGGTTATACCCAGTGTGGTGGAGTATTATAAACAATGCTATGAATATTCTTATGTATGCTCACAAATTGCCAAAATGTTCTACTCTACCTACAATGACTGACTAGAAAACAAACTTCATAGGAGAAAAAACAGTGTAGTACAATGGACTCTAGCTGTAGCATTGCCAGCCATTTGGCCTTTCTGGGTCTTCATTGTTTCCTCAGTCTAGATGACTGGTCAGTCTCTGAAAGGCCTCCTTATACCTGGAATTTTACTAACTACATTGATAGCTATGGATTGTCAATTATCTCTTGTCCTCTACGTCCATTTGTACCTACCATTCCTCTATATGGTTTAAAAATCTTTCATATACCTCTTCTTTGTCTTTGCCACTTTTTGAGATTTTTTTCTAATATGTTTGCTTTTGCTATTTTGTTCTGTGTCTCTTTCATCTTGTTTCCTGTTAAAGTGATCTGATAAGGTTGGGATTTTTTCATCCCAACACGGTTTTTAGTTGACAGTGTGTTGGTTATTTCCTGTGAATAATGAAAATGACAGCATTGTTAGGGATGGCGATTGTAGCCCTAGATACTCAGGATGTCGATATCAAGGGAGTTCAGGTTAAAGGCCAGCCCTGGCAAAAAGTAAGCAAGACACTGGCACAACCAAAAAAGGCTGCAAGTGGTGGCATTCACCTGTCATCCCCGCAATTATAGAAGTGTGAACAGGAGGATCTCAGTCCATTCTAGCTTGAGCAAAAATGTGAGCTCCTATTGGAAAAATAGCTAAAGCAAAAAGCGCTGGGTATGTGGCTCAAGTAATAGAGTGCTTGCCTAACAAATGCTAGCTCAAACTCTAGTGATGACAAAAAATTTCTTCTTTGAATTAAAAAAAAAAAAAACTCTTGTGGATTCCTATGAGACCCAAGATAAACATGGTATCTCAAGAGACTGATTTGTTTTTGCCCTGTGTCTAGAACATTGCCACTGCCTCCAGGGCAAAAAGAACATCAATATTCTGTTCATCTCTCTGAGTTACAACATTGAAAGCATTCACTTGATCATTTGTTCCTATACTGTCAGCTTTTGAAGCTTTTTTTGTCGGTTGTGGGGCCTGAACTCTGGGCCTTGACACTGTCTCCGAGCTCTTCAGCTCAAGGCTCTAGCCCTTGAGCCACAGTACCACTTCTGGATTTTTCTGCTTATGTGGTGCTGAGGAATGGAACCCAGAGCCTTATGCACGCAAGGCAAGGATTCTACCAATGAGCCACCTTCCCAGCTCTCAGCTTTTGAAGCTTTTAGTAAGAGTTAAAAAAAATTCATCCACCATTTTAGGTTTTTGTTTGTTTTGTCAGTCATGGGCTTGAACTCAGGGCCTGGACACTGTTCCTGAGTTTTTCTCCACAAGGTTAGTGCTCAACCACTTTGAGAAACAGCACCACTTCTGGTTTTCTGGTGGTTAATTGGATATGAGAGTCTCAAGGGGTTTCCTGCTTAGGCAGTCTTTGAACCGCAATCCTCAAATCTCAGCCTCCTGAATAGCTTGGATTATAGATAAGAGTCACAAGCACCAGGCCTTAAGTTGTTTATAATCACTAGCACCTGGCCTTAAGTTATTTTTAATCAGAAGAACTAGTCCTACTTCATAAATGAAACATTTCATAAAGCTATACTTTTTTTTTAATCTGTCATGGGGCCTGAACTCTGGGCCTGGGCACTGTCCCTCAGCGAGCGCTCTACCACTTGAGCCACAGCACTACTTCTGGCTTTTTCTGATTATGTGGTACTGAGGAATCAAACCCAGGGCCTCATGTATGCAAGATAAGCACTCTACCACTGAGCCACCTTCCCAGCCCTAAAGCTATACTTTCATATGCTATGCTGGCATAATTATTAAGCCAGTATAAAATATACCTTATTCTTTTTGATATATGTACAGTATTCCATGCTTCCAGTATAGTATAATCTATTTATCATAATCCTAATGATGGGAAAGATTTGACCAATGCTGTTATTTACAAACAATTAACAATTTTGTAAAATCATCTGGGAATAAACCTCAGTGGTAAAGTGCATGCTTAGCATGTATGAGACCCTAGTTCCAATACTTAGTACCAAAACAATTTTGTAAATGAAACCTAGCCAACTCTTCTGCCCCAGCTAGCTCCAAACCATGATTCTCAGATTTCAGCCTCCCTAGCTATTACAAGTATGAGCCACCACCAGAGAGGAACTGACAGAATATTCTATCTTGCCTCAGGTCCCAAACATAAAAGCCAATTGACCATGGACTGAAACCTCTACAAATTGTGAACAAAAACAAATCATTCCAGTTTATGGTGGGTCTTCTTATGTAACACTTAAAACTGAGCAATACAGAATATCAGTATGAAAGAAGTGGCATCATTACTTTAACGACTTAATCATGTGGTTTATAAGACTTTGAACTGACTTGTGGGAAGAATTTGGAAAGGCTTAGAAATGTGGACTAGACTGTAAGCAGAACTTAATGGGTGATTTTTGTGGGAGCTCAGAAGACCAGTAAGAATACAGAAAATTACAAGACTGCTCATGAGTTCCTATGGGAAGGACTCTATCGAGAATTGTACTACAGGCTATGCACCATTGTTACATTTTGTCCATGCATGAAGCTAGAGTGAGACTAAATTCAAAGCTGACAGAATAATTAATATACTGAAGGAAATATCAAGCCAGCTCAACATTCAGGGTGCAGCATGAGTTTGGTGAACGGCTTTTAGACAAATTTGTAGTGAGAATTGGCTGCAAAATACCAGAACAGAGAGATCTGATAGACCTGCAGTTCGGGTCAGGAAAGCTTATATAAAGTTGGGACTAAAACAGCCATGGTTTCTGAAGAGATTAGTGCCATTAGAAGTCATGTACTTAATATTAGGATGGTAGAAAAGATTCCTCATGCTGGGTGGCTCATAGGTGTAATCCTAGCTACTCAGGAGGCTGAAAGCTGAGGATCACAGTTCAAAGCCAGCCTGGACAGAAAAGTTCCTGAGACTCTTAACTCCAATTATCCAGCAAAAAACAAAAAAAAACAAAAAAAAACCACAGAAATGGAAGTGTGGCTCAAGTGGCCAATCCAGAACATGCGGCCCTGAGTTCAAGTCTCAGTACCAGCAGGCAAAAAAGAAACGTGTCTTTAGGGTTATTTCAGGAAACTAAAAGTCACCATCTATCTCAGGCTCAAGTAGGTAAAGAGTGTTAACTCAGTTACGCTGTTGTTCCCTAAAGAAGAGATCACCACTCTGGTGCTGTTTGCAAAATCATCTAAAGCAGTATTTGCTTTATACTAGCACCTTTCTTTCAATACTCTTTACCTCATTTCCATAGTGTTAATCAAAAAGGAAAAGGATAATACAGACACTAACTAGTATTCTGCTTTGCAGAGGTGGAATCACCAAACAACGTTTCTCATCGTATTCGTCAAATGAATCCTCTTCATTACACTCCACTGGTTCACTCTAATAAAAAAAAAAAAAAAGGTTTTTAAAAAAATTTAAAAACTGAAAGTTTGAAATAAATTGAAAATTCATGAGACTAACAAACTACAATTATAGTTTATCTAGTCAAAGGACAGTTTATTGTGTTATAAATTATTCCATAAAAGGCAAATTATATATTTTCTATAGTGTCTTATAATAGAAAATAATACTATGGCAACTACAAATACCTGATAAAATTGGTATACTACATTGCAAAGTGTCAGCTCATTCATTTTCTAGAAAATTCTAAAGTATTTTACCTAGGGAAAGTCTTTTACAAATGAAAAATCACTGGAAAGATTGCTGCATAGATCCAAAACTTCAGGGGCATAATTTCTCTTACATTTAGACTTTACGATACTTTGAATCATTACTTCTTTTGAAAGGACATTTCATATTATTTGATTCCTTAATACATATTATCATGTTTATTGATACAAAATGTTATTCTTCTGAAGTACAAGTACATTTAATTTATAGTTCTACTTCCTTTGCGTGGTGGTATTGGGGAATTCAACCCCTTCTGCTTGGTAATCAAGCACTATACCACATGATCCACCAAGCTATTCCTACATACGTAATTTTTTAAAGCTTACTTATGGCTCTTAAATATATAACAAATAAACAGAACTTACTGAGTAGTTTATGTCACTCATATCTGTTAGTTCAAATGAAGTCAGGCAATCTGAATTCAAGGAATCCTTTAAAAGGAGCAGCACTTGTTCTCTTCCATTTCCAAGAAAGTCATCTACCAGTGCTAAGCTAAATTTTTCCCATTTCGCAGTAACCTGAAAAAAATAAAACATTAAAGGAAGAATAGGAAAAAAATCAAATGTGAAATAAATTAATATTTTTTGCTTTATGTAGTTATAATTTGTTCCTTTCTGTATTACAAACAAGAAAATGATAACATAAAAACTAAAATAATTATACAGAAGGATAAAAAACACAAGAAATATACTCGTTATCTTGCCCATGTAATTGTAAACCCTCTGTATGGTATTTTCACAATAAAAAAAACACAAGGAATTATAACAACTACATAAAGATAGTTAGACTTAGCACTTTCTAGAGACTATCAGTCCTGATTAGACTGTACAACACCGTAAAATCCTGTGTCAAAACCAAAACACACAACCAACAAAGCCAAAAACTACAAACTGAATTATTATTTAAATACTGTACCTGAAAGTCCTTTTCTGAAACAGCACAAACTTGATTGGATCTAAATGAAACAATGAAAAATAAGCTTCTTCCACTTGGGACCAAAGGTTGAACTGTACAAGGACCTTCAAATGGAAGCTGGCACATACTTTTCGGGATCCCATTGTGAAATAAAATGAGTTGATTCACTTGAGTAAGGGCAATCAGAGACATTCTTAACTGGTTGTTGACAATCTCAGTTGTACAGATATGAATGTAAGTTACCACATTAGTATAAGCAGGAGGAATAATATAGGTATCACTTAATACTTTTTGACTTTGAAGAGAATACACACAAAATTTGCTATTACAAGCTTCAGAATCTGATTCTAAAGGTTTTCTGGTATATTCCATTAGCCCCAATAAAACTATACCTAGATTTTGAATCTCACCTATCCACAAAATAGAGGAAAAACTAGCTGATATGCTAATGATTTTGCCAATTTGGGAAGAGATACAGTAGAGTGTGTTGACATATTGCCATAAAAGTAAAGGACCATTAAGGACTCTTACAGTCTCATTCATTTCATAGTCTAGACTAAAACTCAGGCACTTTTCAAACTTATTGTTGCTGTGGAGAAACAGTAAACAATATTCAAAAACACTGTCCAATTTTTTGTTTTGTATCAAAATATAAGGGAGATTAATTCCAGTTCGTAAATCTGACACACAATTGCAAAATATAATTTTTAAATGAGAGCTTTCATTCTGTATGGGAAAGAATCCAGTGGACTTCAGAGCAAATGTTCTGGTTTCATTATCAAATGCCATCTTACTGACATATAATATGGACATCTCTGCAGGCATTTCATCTGAAAAATTTCCTTTAGACAGCTGAAAAATAAGGATGTCTCCATTATAACACAAGAGCCTTTCTTGTTGATTAAATGACATTGTTAATTTGTTGGTCATTCCACAATAATATCAAATCTCTGTACCGACACAGCTTTCAAATACAAACTGATTCCAGTTGATGCTTTAAGTCCTAAAAAAGAAAGGAGAAAAACTGCCATGAAATAAGACAGAGTTGAAAACAAACCACATATTTCTGTTAGCAAACTATCACAGAAGTATCTTCATTGCAGTAAGTATATATGTCCACAGTTCTATACTATTGTGACAATGTATTTTTGTTAGTTTTGTTGGTTACTTTTGAACACAAGAATTAAATGAACAGAAGAAATAAATAATTGCAATCAATCATTCATATGCATTCTCTGCTAAGTACAATACATGCAAAATTTCATTTAATGTTTACAATTATTTTCATAAAATAGTATTATTATCACTTTCATGTGAAAATCTTATTTTAGAAAAGACAGGAAACTTTCCCAAGGTTGCAAGAGTAACACACACTTAATAGTCCTAATCAACAATGGTGCTAGACTTGGATATAAGGCTCTCAACCTCTAGTCTACACTTTTTTCCCCATACATTTCCCTATTTTCAACAAGCAGGTTATAGCAAATGAAACTTGAAAGCTTGTTTTAAAACAAAATAAAAATCAAGATAACATCCTGTAAATTGAATGCACGTATCAAAACCATGTTCTTGCCAGGCACCTAAAATGGCTACATTCCCTGATTGCTTACTCAGGGTATACAGCCAGATACTATATTCTTCTCTACACAGTAGTGCTAGGTATTGTTCTTAGCACCTTTGCTTCACTGTTTATTCCACATGATATCTTCATGCTATAGGCACTATTAATATCCCATTTTATAGATGAGGAAACTGAGGACATTACAGGATTTCCTCAAATGTCTACAGATATGAAGTGACAAGAGTTGTTCAGAACCAAGTAATCTAAGTCAAAAGTAATGACTGCTAAATGTTGTAGCCAGGGGGATGAATATCAGCATAGGGCATCAGATCCAAAAGGAAACTTTAGTTATAATTCAAATATTTTTAAGGATATTTTCACACAACTTTTCAACAATGTGTTCCTATGAAAAGATAGACATATAAAACAGTCTGGGGCAAAAGATGTTAAAGTGCCATAATATATCTGACTACAGATAATGAAAATATGTAAAACGTTTAAAGTTTTTCAAAATTTTCACTGTCTCATAAAAATAGAAAATGTAGACATATAAAACAGTGTGGGGGGGGAGATATTATAGTGCCATAATATATCTGACTACAGATAATGAAAATATATCAAATATTTTAAAGGATATATTCAAATACATTTTCAACAAAGTGTTCACTTTTTCTCATAAACTATAAACCTATAAAACAGTCTGGGGTGAAAGATATTGGAGTGGCATACTATATCTGACTCAAGATAAGAAAACATGGGGACTGTTATTACTTCATTATAGTTTCCACTCCAAAAATGGAAGCCTTTATCAGTCTTAGTGTTGTTGACATTCTGCTCTAGGAAACCGTTGTGTGCTGTCCTGTGTAATAGTGCAGGCCATTTGATACTATCACTGAATTCTATGAGTAGGAACGAGTACAACCACAAATGTCTTTCCAAATGCCTAATCTTCCTCCAAACAGTTGGGAGCTACCTTAAGTAAACCTAAAGACACTTCACTTTTAATTTCAATTTATAGACGTGTATAAAGAGTTCAAAGATCTCAAGGCCGTTTCCTTGTTAAGCAGCTCTCAGTCTGAAGAGAGAGAATCCCTGGATATACAGCAAGCTCTTCAAAACCAACTGTTCCACAGAGTAACAGCTTCAGGCCCAGGGACGCCGGATTCTTTCCGGTGCCTGAGCATGAAGGGGGCAAAGTGCGAATCCAGTCCCGCTCCCCACTCCTGGAAGGCCCAACGGGAAAATTGTGTCCTCTCTAGCCTACCTGGGCGACAGAGCCACGCAACGGATGTCCCACTCGGGTGACAGGGTTTTGTGACTCCAAACCTCCCGCCAGCGCGTTGCATCCTGGGAGGCCCCGCCCAGAGGTTGCGTCAGACGCTGAGGAGGCGGAGCTTGCCATCCTGCCCAGAGTCCGTTGAGCTGGGAGGCTGGGGAAAGAGGTAGCACCTCCCAGGGAGGGTAGGGAAAGCGAATGGCAGGCGAGCTTTCTGGGGCGGAGCTGTAGGGGGAAGTGCCAGCGAACTCACAGCTGGCGGAGGCGGGACCGCAGTGCGGGGGATTCTGGAGGGAGGAGCCGTAAGAACAAACGAATAGAACCCAAGCTGACAGCCTAGTCTGGCCGCCTCCACGCCCAGGCGGCCGTGTCCGATTGGGCCTTCTTGTAGCCCTTCCTTCTGTCTTCGAGTGTCACGCGACCGCCTCCCCCTCCCGCCCTTCTCTGCCTGCCTCTGGGCTGGGCTGCTTGGGGGATGAGATACTCGGCTGTCAGTGGTGGAAGGGGCGAAGGCTACAACTGCAATCACATCCGCGATTGAGATCATGGCCGAGGTAAGGAGTCCAGCAATATTGCAGCCCTCCCCCCCCACCCTGCCCAGGACACCGAACCTCCCTCTGAGGCCCAGGGCCGGCACGACCACATCCAGATGGGCTGAAGTTGAGGGTAAGCCGGGTGATGAGCATAAATATCTAAGATCCTGTTGTGTCTTCCATCCAGAATCAACCTCAGAATAAAGCTAAACTCATCTCTGAGACTCGGAGGAGATTCGAATCTGATTATATGACAGGTGAGCACCGGGTTCTTGGGATTTAGAAGAGTGTACAATGAGCATCCCCAACTTTGCTAGTCTTTGTGAGTGTCCCTGTGGAAGGTGTTGGGGACCCGTTTTACCCTCACAAGAACAATGCTCTGCACATTTCAAAGGTTTTCTTCTTCATAACATATGATGTCTACTGCTTCAAGTGAGCAGATGGTGCGTCCCTCCGACGCTTCCATTAAAGCGTTTAATGTAAGTTCAGAACCTGCGATGTCCCAGTCTCCTCGTGTTTCTGGAACTTCAGGAGACTTGTTAGGCCCACTACACAGATGACATTGCCCATTCCTTGGTTCTGGTGCTAGCCAGAACCATGTTTTTCACCAGAAAACTGGAGAAAATAAGCGAGGAAGCTCTCATAGTACTCTTGATGTATACTTAATTGCATATGCCAGTTCATTTTCTATTTTGCCTAATTCCATATCGGAGAACCCACAATGTAAACTTTCCAGTACTAGAACAAATTCTATGAAATTCAGAATTGATTTATTGATTGAACCTTTGGGATCCAGGTATCAAAGATAGCTATGCTGTGAGGTTACTTAACTGATGATTGACTATTCGTATAGTAACTAATTACAACATACAGAATAAGTTACTATAAATATGGATTTTTAAAACAATCTTCTTTTCTGCCTCAGGATTGATTATAATCCTGCCCCTGTCACTCTATGGCTTACATACCTGTTCTCAGCCCATTTCCATGTTGGTGAAATGCAAATAAGGTTAGGAGGGTTAGATGAAGGAGTATATATATTAAACTAGTATTGCTCAATATATAGTAGGACATATTCAAGGAATATTTTGCCTCAGCATTCATTTTGGTTATTGTGAAAGGAGTTAACATTAGTAATGAGCAGAAGTTTCCTACAACTTTAAAACTGGGCTAGATTGTGCATCACTTGATGACCGAGAACAAATAAGGAAACCTGCTCTAAATACATTCATCAGTAAGTATTTTCATGCCTCCATGCCAATTTTCTTCACACTCCAAACTTTGCACCAGAGAGTTGCAAAAGCATTCGATTCACTTTTAGCCTAGAGATCTCATTTCTAATAACATCACTGGTTCCAGTAAGAAGATAATGCTAAAATTGTTTCTGTAGAAATGAAACTCATATTAATACAATGTATAGTATTTTAATAAAGTAACTCAGTACTAGACCTAATGAATCGATGACTCAGCAATAATAAGCTACTCTTGCCTAAAGGAAGAAGCAGAAAACAGGCAGTAATTTAGCAATAGACAAGGTCTTAATGGTCATCTTGGGTCAACCTTCTTATTTAAAATGAAGAAAGTGAGGTACAGAGAGATTAAGCAATTTTCTCAAAATCCCTGGTATTAATTAGTAGCTTGACTAGTGACTAGTGCTCAGCCCTTCTAGACTTTACTATAGTAATCTTTCTGTGACATCATGATGGCAAATTATATCATGTCAGTTCCTAGCTTGAAATGTTCAGTGTATTCCACTGTACTTAGAATAACATGGGGCCCTACAAGCCCATACCTGAGCCAATTTTCTCTTACCTTTCCACCTCACCTGTTACTCTTCTTGCTAAGTACAGATTTTATTTGACTACGTCCTGCACTGAGAATATACTGTACATTGAAACCCTGTATGCACAATTTGCACTCACATAACTGAAGCAAAACTTAATTAAAAATACTTACTCTGAAAATATGTGACTGATACGATTTCTCTTTAAGTTCCTTTGAAAAAAATACAATAACCCACAAAACTTATTTAACTTCCTTTAAAAAAAATACAATGACCCACAAAACTGACATCACAGTCTAAAACATGACTACACAGCCTTGTTTGTTTCTTCAAACAAAATGAGTCTGTTTCCATCTCAGGAACTTTCTACCATTTCTCTCTGCCTAGAAGGCTTTCCTCAGTCAGTGTGCATGGCTAGGTTATCCATCCATCCATCCATCCATCCATCCATCTATTTATCTATCATCTATGTGGTCTTTTTCAAGGTTGACATGTATATAAGAGACCTTCACTATTATGAAGTAGCTTCATTGTCCTGTGTATTTTCCATTTTACAACTGTTAACATAACCTGTAATTTTCTTGTTCATTTGTTTGTTTATTATTCATTTCCTCCAATAGAAGGTATGTGGGTTTGGTGGCAGTATGTAGAAATTCAGAGCAGAGGCCCTATGTATCTTACACAGTTTACAATAAATATTTATTGAATGATTCTAGTAAAACATAAACATATGTTTTAGAAGAGCAGTTATTCCAAATGTAAATCTGTCCTAAATGGCTCCCTTTCCCACTAAAATCTGAAAAAAAGCAGTCCTCACAATATGTATAATACACATAAGCTTAATTTCGAAGTAATGTACTATAGGCCATTAAGTATAAAGAAGGATTTTTTCCTTAAATGTATATTCTTCATTATTTATAACAGTTATAAATACTAATTTAAAGAATTCTATGAGAATTAAAAATAAAAACCTTTTAAAACTTTCCAGCCTTAAAATTTGCAGTTGTTTCCTGAAATAGAAAGAACATTTGATGAAGGTAGAGTTTGAATATGACAAAATATTGTGTTGTTTTTTCAAATTTACCTGTGATCACCCTTCTAGTCTGACTTTTAGAAGTTAACATTGTTGTATAGAACATCCACTTTCCTTTTTATTGGTCTTTCATAGTCTCTAATACCATCAATGATATTTTGTTCCCAAAAGGCTTATGGCAGACTTAAATAAACATGTTTTTCCTAAAGAAAAATATTTATTTTCTGCAAGTGTATGTCTTCAATCATTAGGTACCCTTCAAAAAGTCCTAGAAGTAGGTTCTTGGGAATCTCAAGCACATTTTGTGCACGTAGAAATTGTTACCAATCATGGATAGGTTTTTAGCTGGGAAAAAAATAGAAAAAGACAAGTCCATAATTACAGTACTGTTTTCTTTATTGTTACAGTAAGAAATTCCATGCTGAGAAACCTTTCCCAATCTTCTCTTTGTACCAAAGAGACTAATCTCTTGTGTTGATAATTCGTTCTGTTCTTCAAGTACTTCTTACATGTTTCATTCTGGAAAACAGTGTGTTAACATTAGAGAAAGAGCTGAAGAAGGGTAGCACACCTTTGTGAACTACCATCTAGTAAAGGTATTAAAATCAGAAATAGCTGTTCAGTTTAAGGCAGATTGTGTTACGAGTAAAAAGTGTGAAGGTGTATTCTGCAAGAATCAAAGGCAAAGAGAAAGCTCATGATTGGATTAGCACAGACTTAGAAGAAATTTCACAGAAAAAAATGTGGTGCTATGGTTTGGATATGCCCCAAACCATAAAGACTTGTTTCACAGCCTGATAGTGTTGGGAGATTTTTGAAGTCTTTATGAGATAGAGCCTACTAGGAGGTCTTAAGGTCACTGAAGATATGCCCTGAAAGGAGATTTAACTTCAGTCCCTTCTTCTTCCTGATGTTCCCTGGTTACAAGATAAGCAGCTATTTTTCTCTTGGCACATTCTCCAACCATATGTACTATTCTCCTACCATGATGTGCTATGCTACCATAGGCACAAAAGTAACCAGGCCAACAGATCATGGACTGGAACCTCCAAAACTCTAAGCCAAAATAAACCTTTTCTCAATAAGTTGTTTATCTTATAGGGATTTGTTGTAGTGACAGAGTGCAGATGAACCCAGGTGGTGTTATGATGAACTTGGGAACATGGTGGAACTGGGCCAGGTACAGAAGATGATCCAGGCAGGTCAGATAGTTTGTGCGTAGGCACTGAGGTAAAAAGATGTAAAGCATGTTTAGGAAGTTCATTTTAATAAGCCTTAAAGAGAGAAGTATACATGGTTAAAATCCAGTTGAAATATAATATAGAGAGCTTTGGACACCCAAGTGTTGTGTTTGTACTTCAGTGAATGTAAAGAGCCAGGATTTGTTTTTGATTTGTTGTCTGACTTCACAAGTATGAATGCATATTCATTTAAATGAATTTAGTAAATGAATTTCTTCCCAGTCTTTTGTGTGTGCATCAAGAGAGCAAAGTTGCAAGATCACTCTGTTTATAATTAGAATGTTAGATTTATTTGGTCTGATCTTATTTCACCATATTTATAAAGTAAGTCACATTGTATATTACTATTTGATATTCAAATCTTTAAATAAAAGACTTTTATCATTTAGATAATGTCATTTTATTTTATTTTATTTTCTGTGCTGGTCTCGGGGCTTGAACTCAGGGCCTAGGTACTGTCACTTAGCTTTTTTGCTATACCACTTCAGCCACAACTCCACTTCTGACTTTAATGGGAGATAAGAGTTTCAAGGACTTCCCTCCTGGGGCTGGCTTTGAATCCTTCAGATCTCAGCCTCCTGAGTAGCTAGGATTATAGTTGTGAGCCACCAGCACCAAGCTAGATAATGCCTTTTGGATAGTTGGGGTATTTCAAGTTTTTTAATACATTTTTTGTGCAGTAATTTTGGATTATTTGTGTTAGATTGATGCCTAGAACTAAATTATTCACAAGTAAGTATTTTTGACACACATATGTAGAACTTTCTCCATGAAGACACCAGTATCCATACCTACCAGCCTTTTCTTACCACATCCATATCCATTTTTTTTACTGTCATTATTGGTTGCTTAACTGATAGTTCTTTTAGTTGGCATGTGACTGCTCATAAGGGTAAACTTCTTTTCATATGTTAATGTTCATTTGTGACATAATTTTTATATCACTTTTATTACTGGTATGGAATTTTGCTTTATGACATTTACTTTTGGCAGTTTTTTAATATATGCAAAATTACTCATTGCTTTGTGGTTTTCTTCATTATTGTTAAATAGTTTTCTCTTACCCAGTGATTTTTTTCCTAGTCTCAATTTATTGTTTTCATTTGGTTTAATTTTGAGATTTTATATACAGTATGTATAAAGATGTTATTAACATAAATAACCATGTACTACTGCTCAAGGGTTTATACCCAGGAGTGAAATGAGTAGTTCATATAATAAGCGTTCAACAGGCTCATTACTGACCTGGTTCCCAAGTGATTGTACTAGTGTTCATTTTAACTAGCAGTATTTGAATGTCCTAAAAATTTTATACATAAAAAAAATCCTTGTGAATCTGCTACAGGTGTTGGGCAATCTCATTGTGGTTTTAATTTGTATTTTTTTGAGGACCAGTGAGGTTGAACAATTCTTTATGGGTCCTTTGGTTTCCACTTCTCTGAAAAACACTTCTGGCATTTGGAGGCATTTTGTTCTTCCATGTAAGTTTTAGGGTTAGTTTATGTTTCTGCAAAAAATGAAAAAAAACATTTGTTATAATTGTGTTAAACCAGAAGCCAGTTTGGGGAAAATGGACATTATCATTGTCAAAACTTCCTAACCAAGATCTTAAAAAAATATCTGCTGAAGTCTTCTTTATTGAAAGATTTATGATTTCTCATAACACTTAATTTCTGTTTTTATACTTTTTATTGTAAAGATACTGTACAGAGGGGTTACAGTTACATGAGTAAGGTAATGACTACATTTGTTTTTCCCCTACCATCCCTTCCCTCCCTGCCTCCCCAACTCCCCCCCACCCCGCTAAGTTGTTAAGTTCATTTCAACATAGTGTCTTGTAAGTCTCATTGTTACAATGGGCCAACCTATATCCTTGCTTCGCATTTTGTTATTTCCCTTCCCCTCCCCAAATTAGAAAAATGTATATCCAAGATGCAGGGCACCAGAATTAAATACAATGACAAACAGGGGTTATACCATAAGGAGAAGAGCATACAAAAGAAACAAAAAAAAATCACATAGTACATTTAAAAAAAGCAACAAAGAAAAAATCCTCTTGTGTTCATATCTTGGGGTTCATTTCACTTAGCATCATCTTATATGGTCATATGTACATAGCTTCTGACCTTTTCTGCTTGTCTGGTAAGATTATCCTAGATGTCTACGAGTTATTGCAAATAAGGGAAACTATAGGATCTATGTTTCTTTGAGTCTGGCTTACTTCACGTAATATAACTTTTTCCAAATCTTTCAATTTCCTAACAAGTAACACTTAATTTCTTGTTACATTTTTTTCACAGATACTATACATGTTGTTTTTGTTCTGTTATTTAAATACTGTGCCTCAAAATTTATTTTCTAAGTGATGGTTTCTAGTTTATGGAAAATGCAGTTGACTGTTTTACATTATTGAATTCTGAAATCCTAGCAATTTATTAATTTTATCACTTATCTCTAGATTATATAAGATTTCAATATAGAAAATAACATTACTTTCAGTACAACAGTTTTCTTTTTAACTTTCCAATTATAACATCTTTCACTGTTTTACTTGTACTCTACTCACTGGAATCTTTAGAACACTATTGTATGGAAGCAGTGACAAGAACTTACTTATTCTTGATTGAAGGATACGTGATGTCACCATTAAGTACGATCTTTGTGAATATCCTTCATCAAAACAAAAGTTTCTTAGTTTGCTAGTTGAAGGATTTTATTTGGTTTGTTCCCATTAAGACTATTTATTGAGCTGGGCGTCAATGGCTTACACCTGTAATCCTAGCTATTCAGGAGGTTAAGATCTGAGGATCACAGTTCCAAGCCAACCCTGGGAGAAAAGTCCATGAGACTCTTATCACCAATAAACTCCTCAGAAAAAGCCGGAAGTAATGCTGTGGCTCAAGTGGTAGAGCACTAGCCTTGAGCACAAATAGGCTCAGGAACAGTGCCCAGGCTCTAAGTTCAAGCCCAGGACTGGCAAAAAACAAAGACAAAAAAGCAAACAAAAACTAGTTATTGAATTTTACTAAACTCTTCAATTATTGTATACATTTATCATATCTGATGAAATTTACATTTGAGTTCTTATAATAAAGTAGATTATGTTGATGAGGTTTTTAAAACAGACTGCTAGATTTTTTATTAATAGTTTAGGAATTTTGCATCTGTTTTCTTATATTGGCCTGCAATTTTCTTTTTAGACCTATTTATGTATAATATTAACAACAGTAAATTATTATGTAGTCTTTACAAGTGAAGAGGGTTTTTTTTTTCTGTTCCCTGGTAGATACATTGTTCACCTCTAATCTGATAACTCAAACCTGCTACCTCCTCTAAGGTGTAATTCTTGTTTTAACTATCAGTATTTGTCTATGTACCATATATCTAAGAATGATTGATCAGTTCCTTCTAGAATCATTACTGATTCATATAAAGTATAATTTTCCAGAGGCCTATATTGTACTAAAACACCCTTTGTTTTGGAAATGTCTTTATTTTGCCCCTAGTTGTTTTTGTTTTGTATCTTGAATTAAGCAATTAACTTGGAGGAATGCCTTCATTTTATTAGCCTGAAAGAGACAACATGGTTATCATAGACAGCTAGAAAGGAGAATTTCTAAGCCAGGAGTATTAGCAGTGAATTCAGAAGAACTCCTTTTATTGAAGGGTACATATAATTTGGACAATCCTATGGACTGCCTTCTCCAGGATATTGTGTAGTTTGTATAAGTGTCCTGGAAACTAGTTCAGGTTTTATTTATCTGTGCATCTAGAAAAAATAGCTCTTGTTTGTGCCTAGTGTCTGGTGAGTTATCACAGTCTTTATTATTAGTGGGCCATTGTTTTCTTCAAGCAAGGAAGCATTTTAAAAAGTAGGTAAACTTTTTAACATTCCCAGAATATTCCATGTTTTTTTTAACATTCTCAAGGTCAACCTTTTTCAAGTTGTCACGATGAAAATAAGGAAAAGATCTTAGAAATGTATCAGAGAAATATGAATGGATAAATGTGTGTGTCTGTGTGTGTGATGGAATATTATTGAGAAGGTGATCCCATTCTTTGCTACAATGCAGATGAACCTGAAAGACTTTATATTAAATGCAGAAAGCCAAGAGCAGAAAGTCAAATACTGTCTAATCTCACTTGCATGTAGAATGGAAGTCTGTTAGGTCACTATTTTCATAATGACCTAGCATCTTATTTCTAAGATGGTAATTACCTTATTTACTGCATTGACATTTGTTCTGATTACCAAGAAGCAGTGGAAGGTAGAGCTCCTGCGGCCATGACTGGGATCAAGGGCACAGACATTATTGCACTTCCCATTGTCTGGAGGGTGACGAGGCCGAGGGAAAAAGCCCATTTTATTTTAGAAGACTCCCTAATGATACAGTAAATTTTATTAAATCTTGACCTTTGAGGACATGTCCTTTTAAAGTTGTATTCAAGCAAACGAGGAAGAAGGCATAAAACAATATGTGTATTTGAGTTGCCAGCTTAATTACCATCTTTTTCTTAGACCATCATTTTCTTTGAAAGTAGGACTGGTATGTAGGCTGTTATTATGTACATTTGGATATTTGGCAAAAAACAATTTCCTGAAAATGTATGAAATCAGCCTGAAACTTCAAAAACTAAATTCCATTGGTTCAGTGACCCAGTTGGATGGATGATCCTTGCTCGGGAGACAGGAGACTATATGTGACCACTTAAATCCAACTTATGCTTATAAATGTCATTCATCATTAAGGAAAAGTATACTTTGAATACATACACATTTTAATAACAGCTTAAAATAAGTATAAAATATACAAAACCATTTGTTTTACAGATTAGAAAAATAGAGCCTAGGTATCAAAAATATATTGAAGGCAATGCTCCTCAGTGGGAGATTTATGGTCTCACGTTTTATAGTGCTTTTTATAGTGCTTTAAATTTTCAAGTACCTTCATATATAATTTTTCTTCTGATCCAAATACAGAACTATGAGTATATAAAACAGCTTAAAGATAAGGAAATTGAGACTCAAAGAAGATAATACTCTGAATGCACTTTATATTCTCTCCTACCCTTTCAGCTATTATCCCTGAGGACTTGAAATAAAAGCAGAGCAAATAGAGAGGAGGTAGAATCTATAAAACTTGGCTACTCACTAGATATGAAAGAAAAGGAAATGAAGGAGGCAGGAGATTTTCCAAAGCTTTTTCCTTGGACCCCTGGGAGAATATGGATAGCTGAGGAATTAAAAATTGAGACCATATGTTTACTGAAGGCCTTTTCATTGGCAAAACTGCCATCTTTTATGGAGTAGTCTAAGGGTGTATGGACACTGGGCCTTTACGATCTCCTTGGGAAATATAGCACAATTCAAAGAAAAAAACTGGCAATTATCTTAATGAATTGTCTTAGATAAAATTCTGAGGTTATTCACAAGAGGGAAGAAATTTACTCCAGGGTACAGGGAAATTTTTATATAAGAGGAAGCATCTGAAGTAAAGTTTGCAGAAAGGTAGAATTTGTATGTGCAGAGATGGTTGTGTGAAGACAAGTTCAGTTACAGGAAAATAATGAGAGCAGGGATGTGTGCAATAGAGGCCAGTAGGAACATAGAATGTATAGGGAAATGTTGAAAACTATTGAAGATAATTATTCTAGTACATCCTCAGAATGTTGCATGTAGTGCTTTGGATAGGAAGTGTCCCCCTCAAGGCTCATAAATTGAAGGTTTGGTCTCCAACTGGTGATAACTATTGAAAAGTGATTAGATCAAGAGAGTGCTAACTTTACCAATGGATTGCAAAACCCTGTAGTCTTTAGATAACCTTATTCTCTCACATAGAAATTTGTCGATCCTTTACATTCTATTTCATTTAGATCATATCTATATCTATCCTTAAACAGCGTGGCCTTGTCTTCCAGATATTTTCCTTTGGCATCAGTATTGGTTATTTCTCACTGCAGAATTAATCTGACTTGTATGTGTATTGCTGTTTCCCCTCCTAGAAAAATCAGATAAATATGATCCACGTGATATTGAAAGGCTCCAGCAAGATGATAACTGGGTTGAAAGCTACTTACATTGGAGACATAATGTTGTAGATGAAACAGTAAAGATGCTGGATGAGAGTTTTCAGTGGAGGAAAGAATTTTCTGTCAATGGTAAGTTGTTAAATTTAACCTTGCCAGGGTCATATCTCCAGCATAAATGCTTACTGTATTACATTGATTTAATTATATATTTGTATATTTATCATGGAAGTTATCAAAAACACCAGCATAAGATTACATTGAGTCAGTAATATGGTCATAGGAACAGCTAATAAAAAATAAGTAAGAGCATCATAAGGCAATCAGATCACCAGGGAGAAACTAACATTTTTCATGCACAGCAGCATTACCCAATCTGTTTGTGGTTCCACAGTATTAGACAACATCATGACGGCTTCTTCATACCATGCCAATCAATAAGGAGATGCTATTTTCCTGGTTTGCTCTGTTGTTGTCCATCTTTTGCTATTTTCAGGGTTTCTTATGTGTATGGGCATTACATAGGATTCCCAAATGACCAGGACCCCGATTAACAAGTGTAGCCCTAAGGTTGTCTATCGCAGCCTCCTCTTAAATTCTTCATTTTTAAGTCCACTAGTAGATTGAAATCATTCTGTAATGATCTTCAAGTATATGAAAACCTCTGCACAGAAAGAGTTACCTGATATTTGTCTCCTCCTAAAGAATTAATGAGAAGAAGCTGGCATAATTACCGATTTCAATTAGGTATAATGGATTTCCTGTCCTGGAAGATTATAAACTCTAGAGTAACTAAGTGTGAAGACTTAATACAAAACAGGCAATAAATAAGTCTAGAGCACATTCTCCCCCCCCCCACACACACATTCTTCACACTAGAGGAAATGCACAAGGAGGGCAGTTAGTAGCCAAGAAATAAATGGATTGGAACTGTGAACACTGTAGGTAATTTCGACAAACAGGGAAGAACTTGTTAATCCAGTACAATTTGTAAGTCCAATTTTAAAAACACATTTAAATTTAATAGTAGAGAAACACTAAAGACCAAGGAGAAGAAACCTCCAAAAGTTCGTGGGGAACTACCAGTGTATGAAGCAAGAGCCTTGATTTGTACTGCTCCAAAGAGTTGGTCATCAGCCTCTCCAGAGACTGGAAAGAACCTTCTTTTGTTCCTCTTGCTAAAGGATGTTACATTTTCTTGAAAGAATTGTCCATCTGCCCCAAGGCTTATAAAATGCATTAGAGTGTACAGGATATTAAACTTCTAGAATAACACCATCTTATCAGAAGAGTAAAGAGATTTTTTTCACTAATTCTGAGGCTGTATTCTCTCTTCCTTCCCCCTTCCCTTCCTCTTTCTCTTCTCTCCCTCTCTCTCTGTCTCTCTCCCTTTTTCTTTCTCCCTGCTTCCCTGCCTCTCTTTTTTCTCTCCTGCCCTCGTTCTGTCTCTCTCTCTCTCTCTCTCTCTCTCTCTCTCTCTTGAGTTAACCACTGAGTCCTTACCATGTTTTTTTGCAATTATCTAAAAGTGGTCATATTTGTTTGCAAGTCAGGTCATTGTATGAAACAATCAGAATGTAGAAATGTATCTACATAAATCATGGCTAGCATGTCAAAAGAAATGAGGTTTTTCCTTTTCTGTCATCTATATCTTTTGCAGCTTGTTTCTATTTTTCAATTGCCAGGTATTCTATGCAGAAGTTTGAAAGAATTGTATTTTTTATGTCACAATTATGATATAACGTTGCCCTGTACATTGTGTTTTAGATCCCTAAATCATAATTACTGATCAAATTTTATCACTTTTTAGACCTTAGTGAATCTTCCATCCCTAGATGGTTATTAGAAATTGGTGGTATTTATCTTCATGGTTATGACAAAGAAGGTAACAAATTGTGTAAGTATACTTAATTTATACACTGACTTCTTGAGGTTTTGCAGAGTAGCTCTCTATCTTAATTGAATTAATAATCAGCAGAACTTTTTTCCATATATAGCATACAATTTGGGATTGCCAGGGCCACCTTTAGAAGTGTCAAATACTTAGAGAAGTTCTGCCTACCATTTGCATTGTAATAATGTATGGGCACCAATGGTTCACACCTGTAATCCTAGCTATTCAGGAGGTTGAGATCTGAGGGTCACAGTTCAGAGCCAGCCTGGGCAGGAAAGGCCCTGAGACTCTTATTTCCAATTAATCACAGAAAAAGCCAGAAGTGGCACTGTGGTAGAGCGCTAGCCTTGAGCAAAAACAGCCTGGGACAGTGCCCAGGCTGTGAGTTCAAGCCCCAGGACTGGCAAAAATAATAGTAATTATAATGTTCTCAATAGAAGCAAATATTGCATTCTGTAGCACAGCCAAAATAAGTCATTGCACAGTCATTATCTTTGTTCTAATTTGTTATTAACACTGCCTAATATTTTTTGGAGAATTTTTTGATAGTCACTAAAATGTTGCTAAATGGATTATTTTCCAAGCCTCCCATATTCTTCTTCCTCTTAACTGCTTCTGAAATGCGTATAATAGTAGTAGGTACAGTAATTCATACCTTCTTTCTGGATTGTCCAGCTCAGGGCCACTCATTTGCTCTTCTAATCTAGCTACAAACTGGCCCTTTTTCTTTTTTTTTTTGGGGGGGGGAGTCCAGTCATGGGGCCTGAACTCTGGGTCTGGGTGCTGTCCCTCAGCTCTTCAGCTCAATGCTAATTTTCTACCACTTGAGCCACAGCACCACTTCTGGCTTTTTTCTTTTTGCTTATGTGGTGCTGAGGAATCAAACTCAGGGCCTCATGCATGCAAGGCAAGCGCTCTACCACTGAGCTACCTTCCCAGCCCTGAAACTGGCTCTTTTTCTACTTCATCAGCTCATTCCTCAGTTCAGTTCCTGCCTGTCAACTCTTCATTCTCAGTTCTTTCCCAAGTCCTGGTCCATTAAGGTCCCTCCCTTGCTTTTCCACCCTACCTTCTCTGCCACCGCCCAAGAGGTACAGGAAAATCAAAATGCCTTTGTACTTCATTGAGTCCTTCAAGACCAGCCAATGTCTATTCAATTTCTTCTCTCAGCACTTATCATATTTTACTTTAACTGCCTCAACCTGACAGGTTTGTACACTCCACTCTAGTGCTTGGTGGAACCACTGGCTTTCTTCTTAGTACACTGAAGAGCACTTTTAGGTTATTACCAAATAGTGTTTGTACACCTGCACTTTCTTTTCCCCTTACTTAAAAATGAGGGTTTTTTTATTTCCTAAGAGAAAGAAAAATAGTTTACCTCTCTCCTACTTTTTAACTTAAAGGTCCCAAGAGCAACCATTCCTCATTTAAACAAAGGAAGAAGATTATTTTTTAACCTATGAAACAAAATGAGTTATAAATGAAAAACCTTGTGAAAGAAAAGGTTCTATATTTAAAACAACATTAAAATGTTTCTATTTTATCTTTGGTTCTTCTTAAAGTCTGGATCAGAGTGAAGTATCATATAAAAGACCAGAAAACAATAATGGATAAAAAGAAGCTCATAGCATTTTGGTTGGAACGTTATGCTAAGCGAGAAAATGGAAAACCTGTAACAGTGATGTTTGATCTCTCCGAGACTGGACTAAATAGCATAGTAAGCATTTTTATATTAATCTTAAATTGTTGTTTATGGACTTTTTGGACAACTAAATTTGCTTCAATATTTGTCATTGACACTAGTTTTCCTAGAAACAGTCCCTATCTGGTACATCAGATGAAGAAGAAGGGCATTGAGCCTGGCAGGGCATAAGTCAATTAGATAGCAATGAGCTTTTCTACCTTAGCTAATATCCTCCACCCCACCCCTGGGCCTGGCACAGAGAAAGACATTCAGTTAATATTATGCATGATCTCTGTAATGATATATATATGAATATATGTCATCTTTGATCATCCATGATATTTCTGAATATCTTCCTCTGTACCAGGCCTAGGGGTGGGAAGATGTCAATGAACTTTTCTACAATGGTCATATGAGTTTTCTACTTTCAGTTCTTTGATTTTTGGGGGGTGGGGGAAACCTTTGTTTGCTTATTACTTGCATTGATTTGTTTGAATTGGTTAGCTTTGAAAATGAGTTTTCATTAGGTGATTTTTGTCAATCTTCAAAAGCTAAGGTAAACAGCTGGGTACAGTCCACCTCACTTGTCTCAGTTACTTGGGAGGCTGAGGCAGGAAGATTATTTGAGCTTAGGATTTCAAAGACAGCCTGGGTAATATACAAGACTGAATCTCAAAAAGGAATAAAAGTAAAAGAGAAGTTCATTTTCAACACAGTGTCTTGTCCATCTCATTGTTACAATGGGTCAACCTGTATCCTTGTTTCAGCATTTGGTTATTTCCCTTCCCCTCCCCAAATTAGAAACATGTATATGCAAGATGCAGTTGGGGAGGTGGGGAGGAAGGGATGGTGGGGGAAAAACAAAGGAGGGGGTAACAATACTCGAGAGGCAATGTATTCATTACCTTACTCATGTAACTGTAACCCCTCTGTATACAGTATCTTTACAATAGAATATATATATATATATATAAAGAAAATGAACATTTATAATATTTATGGATAATAATCCAGATTATAGAGTATTCTAAATTCTGGACCACAGATAATGTGGTGTGAGTCTAAAGTCAACAAGGTGATGATTCTTTAATGTTTCAACTGAACATTAATTATCTATTATTAGCTACCATAAAATTCAAAAACACAAGTATATATTTTCCTAAGTCAGTATTTTAAATTTATGCCATTTGCAGCATTGTTAATTGCTTTTCTGCTTTTGTTTTCTGAGAGATCTAAGTTGTTTTTCCTTAACACATTGACCTATATCCCTTATTTTATTAAGTTCCTATATTAGTAAAATTTGTAATAAGAGCTACAAGTCTTTCAGAATGAATATGCTATTTTATCATTAAACATTCACAATCATGCTGTTAAATTTTTTTAAGTAAAAGAGAGAGAAATAAAAGGAAGAAAGTCAAATGAACCAGTTTTTAATTTAGGCCCTTTACAAACTATGTTAAGTATCTTAAAGAATTTGTGTTATTATGCTTCTTAGTAACTAAGTACTGGAAATCTGTTCTAAACAAATAATCCTAAGTACAGAAAAAACACTATATATCAAAGTATTTTTTCAGAGTATCATTTAAAATAGTGAAAAATTGGGCAGGCATTAGGGTACATGCCTATAATCCCAACTTCTCAGCTAAAGCAAGAGGAGAGTAAGTTCAAGACTAGCTGGGCTACATAAATGAGACACAGTCACCAAAAAATAGAGTCTAAAATAGAAAGAAGTATAAATTGCCCAAATGGTAATATATGATATGTCTATTTATGGTATATCTAATACCATTCCTTAATCAAAGAGAAAATATGGCTCTTCAAAACACCTAGACTTAAAAAAATTTAGAGAAAAATGTTTTTTTAAAAGTGCTCTAGTTAATAGTTTTGTTTGTTTATTTGTTTGTTTATTTATTTATTTATGTAGTACTGGCCATGAGCCTTGAATTCAGGGCCTGGTTACTGTCAGTGCACTTTTGTGCTCAAGTCTAGCACTCTACCTTTTGAGCCATAACTCTAGTTCTGACTTTTTGGAGCATAACTGGAAATAAGGGTCTCATGTACTTTTCTGCCTTGACTCTCTTTGAACCATGATCCTCAGATCTCTGCCTCCAGGGTAGCTAAGATTAGACACATAAAGCACTGCCGCTCAGCAGGTCTCTTTATCTTTTAAGAATCTAATGCCCTGGATATTTCAACCTGGTTTCAACAAAGGTAACCAAGTTTTATATAGCTAATTCATTTCTGATTATTTTCTACAAATTGTGAAACTGAGAACTGTGTTCATTATACAAATGTTTTCATATACTAGGATGTCCATAATAAATAGTTAAGAATGTTTATTTTCAGTTTATTGCAATGAAACTGCATGCCATAGAAGTCACATGCTAGGGACAACTTGATAGCCTCATCTCTAGAAAATCTACCTTTCAGTAAATGTGATGCCTTTAAGTATGCCTGATTATGCCTTTCATCTAACTGTCTTTGCAAGGTAACTGCTCAGGATTAGTTAAATCATCTGTGATGAACCATGGAATAATATGAAATGAAATGTGAATAATATCTCCAATTTTCTTTTGTGCTCAAAGCAGAACAACTAGCGAGCTATGTTTATAAAGTCTCCCAGAAATTAGAGTCAATGAACAACACTTAAACATAAATCAAAAAACTAAACCAAGGACCCTAAATAAAAGGAAAAAATACAGCAATGAAACAGCAGGCCAATGAGATCAGATTGACTATTGTGCAAAAAAATGACTAAAGAATATTTTATTGTAGCTATCATGAGGTGTAAAAGATTTAGAAGGCATATTCTATACCAGAATTTATATACTATGTATTATTCCAAATAGTTTAAAAACTGTATGTATACTCATTTCAACAGTTCTTTAGTTGTTCAGTAGCTTTTTTAGAATTTCTCTGTTGGGATTGTTTTAGATCCATTTCATGCCTCATTGCTTTAGCAGTGTGAAGTATGTAACTGGATTGAGGTAATATGAACAATTTTAAAATACTACTGAGCATCTAATTTCTTAATCTTAGGGCTGATTAATATAAATAGCTTACTGACCTAAAACCATAATACTTACAAATGTGGATATTTGTATCTGAGCTTATTTTTAAATTTAATAATTTTCTCATGTATTTAATAGTTTGTCACCTTTAGAAATGTACAATTTAGAGTTCTCTAATGTGGACAGTCTTAAAGATTTATTCTTTATTTTAGGACATGGACTTTGTGCGATTTATCATCAACTGCTTTAAGGTTTATTACCCTAAATACCTCTGTAAGTACCTCACTTCTTTATAAAACTATAACAAAACTGTAGAAAATTTTTGGGAGTTGAAGAGCTTTGTATTATTGTAGACTTTTATATTTAAAAAATTGTCCTTCAGTCCTCAGAATTTCAATCCAAAACATCCTGTAACACATATATGCACTCACACTCACATTCTCACCTGTACATATCAATATGCAACATTTATTGGCAACACTAGCTCATTTGTAGCCAAGTATTGTGGCACAAGTCTATAATCCCAGCTATTTAGGAGGCAGAGGCAAGATCTGTAGTTCAAGGCAAACCAGATGAAGTTAGAAAAGGATGGAGTATGTGGCTCAAGTGATAGCTCCCTTTCCTAGCATGAGGCCTTGCATCCAATTCCTGGTAACATTAAATAAGAAGAAGGAGAAGAAGGAGAAGGAGAAGAGAAGGAGAAGGAGAAAGAGAACAACAACAAGAACAACAGGAGGAGGAGGAGGAGGAAGAGGGAAGAAGAGGAGGAGGAGGAAGAAGAGGAGGAGGAAGGATTAACATGTTTGTACTGTTTTTTCAATTTAGAAGTGCATTTAAAATATTTGTTATATGGAATTTCTTGCATGGGTGAACAGATGAGTGATATTGATGAGCTATACTGTTTGTGAAGCAATATTCATATATAAAGTCTGACTTTTTTTATTTTAAAATTGTCATTAAGAAAATACTTGGGGGCTGGGAAGGTGTCTTAGTGGTAGAGCGCTTGCCTTGCATGCATGAGGCCCTGGTTTCGATTCCTCAGCACCACATAAGCAAAAAAGAAAAAAGCTGGAAGTGGCGCTGTGGCTCAAGTGGTAGAGCACTAGCCTTGAGCTGAAGAGCTGAGGGACAGTGCCCAGGCACAGAGTTCAGGCCCCATGACCGGACCCAAAAAAAAAAAAAAAAGAAAATACTTGGCCACGATGCACATTATCTTCGAATGTGGCATTTGGACTTCTATTTTTGTTTTCTTTTCTTTTTGTGGTGCTGGAGATGGAACCCAGGGCCTCACACGTGCTAGGAACTGAAGCACTGTACTATTGAGCCAACACCCACGTCCCCAGCCACATTCATTTTGGTTTCATTTCTATGATGTATTCCCTTTAGGGAAAACGAGCTGCCAACCCACATAAAGAGGCAAATATATTAAAACCCAGTGAGTTTTTTTTTAAAGACAAGAAACTACAGGAACATCAAAAGATGAAAATTCACAGATCTGATTGGGCATATTCCTGGCGAATACCACAACTAGCGTCTTCTGGGATTTGTAAATCGGGTGACCTTAAGGCACCAAAGTCCATAAATCACCTTACTTGGGCATACTTTTATGCTATTATTGTTATTTGATGTGAGGGACACATAAAAATCATAATGGATATTGAGAGTCAGTGCAACCCCTAGTCATCAATTGGCTTTTGTGGAATTGATGATTTCCTTCAAAATCAGTCATGAAAGATAACCATTGTATCTTAAGTATATCCCAGTTGAAGACTAGAGTATTAGGTACGACTTTACTGATACCTTGTTCTCTTTCTGTACTTCATTTGCCTATATTAATATAACCACTTTAGGAGATTCTCTGCTCAGAGTGTGAAATTGCATGTTAATTCTTCTGAAATAGAAGAATGAACTGGATGTCAAAAATTCCCTTTGTAGCTTCTGGTCATTTTTCATAACAGTTGATAGGTTTCTCTATTATCTTCAGCTCAGTTCAGAAATAATACTCTGTATACTTTGGAAATACTGATTTTTGGGACCCCATGATATTTTCAAAAAAGAGAAATATTTGTTTTTTTAAAATACACAATGATTTAGTAAAAATGGAGAGGACAGCTGTGAGACAGATCTAATATTATAGGTTCGTAAAAACTATGATGGAAACCATAAATTAAGCATGGAGATTTTTTTAATGTTAAGTGACCTTTAGCTCTGACATACCACATTCAAAGACTCCCATTTACCCACTGAGTTGTATTCATTTATGCCATTCAGCAAGCTATAAGGGCAGTAAATGAACAAAGGAACCAAGGCTGTTTGTCCAAGAACAGTTACAGTGTGTTATTGATTTCCCACATGTCCTCCTGGGCCGGGCCTTCTCATTGTTAGATATTAGTTCAGCCCTAGCACCACTCGCACTTTCTAAACTGGAATTCCAGCTCAATTTTCACTTCCTTTTAAGTTTTATCTAGGCCAGATGTAAGTAGTATTACTATAGAGGTACTAATTCTTATTCAATGAAAAAAAAATTTTGTCTTTCAGCTAAAATAGTGATCTTTGATATGCCTTGGATAATGAATGGTGAGTATATTATTTATGCTTCTCTGATTTTCCTTTTTCTTACTCAGCCACTTTAACCAAATTTCTATAGCTGTTTTTTTAAATTAAGTTTATATTTTTACTTAGTATGTCCCTTTAAAAAGCTGGAGCTATAACACTCAGAGACTGTTCCTAGGGAAAAGGGGTTGACATTCTATGCCCAAATTCTGGCCAGCAGTACCAACTAGTCTAAAAACAGCCTCACTATATTCATCCATTCAGGTAAAACTACAACCAGAAGCATCAATTTGTCACCTAAATAAGGCTTTGTTGTCTTAGGAGCTTTGAGTGTTGAGGAACAAAGTGGGTGATGAATCTGAAACTCAGCTGATAGCACCTAGTTGCATGGTCTTTTTTTAAATTTATTTTATTGTAAAGATGCTATACAGAGGAGTTACAGTTACATGGGTAAAGTAATGAGTACATCTCAGAACATTGTTACCCACTCCTTGATTGTTCTCCCACTATCCCTTACATAGTCTTTTGACCCTCAAATTTGTGGTAAGATATTTTTGAAAAAGCCATTAGAATGCATTTTAACAACATTAAAGCAATTGAAAATTTAATGTTATTTTCCAAGTATTCACTTTCATTGGTATTTAACAAAGTTGATTGTTAGTTAGAAAGCAACAGCAAAAATCAACAAGATAACTTTAGTTCTTTGAAAAGTTAAACACAATTAGAAAATAAACTGATAAAGAAGCTACAGGTTTAAATTGCTAAAATTTGCAATTAAGGAATAGATATCCATGCTGACTTTATAGAACTAAAAGTATTATTAGAGAGTACTATGAATAGTTGCATCCGAAGAAATTAAATAACCTAGATAAAATGGATAAATTCTTAGAAAGATTTGAAGTATTGAAGTTGATTCAACAGGAATGAGAAGATAAGTATAAGAAAGTATAACAGAACAATAACAAAACATAACACTAGGATAACAAAATTGAATTTGTAACCAGAAAACCTCCTACAAAGGAAAATCCAGGCCTAAATGGCATCACTGGTAAATTCTAGAAAACATGTAATGGAAACTCAACACCAATCCATTGTAAATAGGTCAGACAAAGACAAGAGCAAGGAATATTTCTGAACTTATTTTATGTGGCAAATATAACCCTAATACCAAAGAAAAAAAAGTACAGAATACAAGTTTTGTGAATATAGATATGCCAGGCCTCAACAAAGTACTGAAATTGTGGGATGTGGCTCAGTGGTTGGGTACTTGGGTAGCATGTGTGATAACCCTGGATTCTATACCCAATCCACCCAAAGAAACAATAGCACGTGAAGTCCAAAAGAATATTAAAAGTATTATATGCCATAGCCAGATAGGATTTATTGCAAGAATGCAAAGTTGATTCAAAAGATGAAAGTCTACATTATTAATAGAATGAAGGAGAAAAGAAAATTACTTTGTTATCTGAGCAGACCCACAAAAAGAATTTGACAGAATCTACTAGTCCTTCATGATAAAAGCATTTAAACTGGGGGGAGGGTAGTTGTGGAGGTGGGAGGTAGGGGTGGGATGGTAGGGGGAAAACAAAGGAGGAGGTAACAATGCTCAATAGGAAATGTACTCATTACCTGCTCAAGTAACTGTAACCCCTCTGTATAGCATTTTTACAATAAAAAATATGCAAAAATTCATTTAAACTGAAAACAGCAAGGACAGAGTTGTAACACTTGAAATTTAGAGGAAACACAGTACTCCGTAAAAAACCACCCATACTTCTGACATTAGTAAGCTCAAAAAGTACTCTAAGTCACCCTCAAATTGGGTAATGTTCTAGAAGGCCTGCTTGAATCTTCTGGAAGCTATTATGCTCACTGTTTCAGTCTATTACAGAGACAAGATTCAGATAAAATTTGGCCAAGGGAAATAACAAATATTGTGCGTATTACTTTACCAGCATCATGTGGCCGTGTACATGGAGTATTGCCAATCAGGAAAGCTCATCTAAGCCTCAGTGCTCAGAGGACAAAGGCTAATTCTTCACTAAACAGAAGAGAACTTCCTTAGGGTATCAATGAAAATCTACAGCAAGTATCATTTGTAAATTACATCTCAAAGCTTTTATTAAAAATCAGCTTTACTGGCCAGGCATCCATGGCTCATGCCTGTAATCCTAGCTACTCTGGAGGCTGAGATCTGAGGATCACGGTTCAAAGCCAGCCTGGGCAGTAAACTGAGAGACTCTTTATCTCCAATAAACCACCAGAAAACCGGAAGTGACGCTGTGGCTCAAGTGTTAGAACACTTGCCTTGAGCTGAAGAGCTCAGGGACAGCGCCCAGCCCCATGACCAACAACAACAAGAAAAAAATCAGCCAGACCCAAAGAAACAGGTTGTGTGGTTTCCTTCATTTGTAGTAACTAGAATGTGCCTATAAATCTACAAGTAAGCACAATAGATGGCAAAAGACAAAAAAATACACTTGGATATGAAAAATTATACAGGTCTCTAGACATTCACACAGTGAGACCAAAGGAGGACATTCTTAGGAGGGGATCACAAAGGCTCAATAGCTATGTGCAGATGTTCATATAAAATGATGTTTATCAAAATGAACTCCAAGAAATGCAAACAAGGAGCTTTTTTTAATTTTGCTTTTTGTTTTTTTCCTCTTTTGTCACTGTTTTTGATTTCTATACCTTTTGTTTGTAAGTTTATCTATCTTGGGGAAGGTAAAGGGGAGCACAGAAAGGAAGGGATAAAGGGTGAACAAATGCAGCAGTGATAAATCTAGACACTATGTTGAAAATGAACTATACAACTTGGTCAGAGGGGGTTGGAAGAGAAAAACTGAGGGAAAATGAGGTAAGAAGGTGAACCTGTTCAAAAAGAAATGTACTCATGACCTGACTTATATAACTATAACTGCTCTTTACATCATCTTTATAATAAAAGTTTTTAAAAATCAGCTTTACAGGCTCTGGTACTTCATGCCTGTAATCCTAGCTACTCAGGAGGCCAAGTTTTGAGGATCACGGTTTGAAGCCAGGCAGGGTAGGAAAGTCTGAAACTCTTAATTCCAATTAACCATCAAATAACTGGAAGTGGATGTGTGGCTCAAGTGGTAGAGTGCCAACCTTGAGCAAAAAAGCCAATCCAGAACATGAGGCCTTGAGGTCAAGCCCCAGTACCAGCACATAAAAAAGAAAGATGTCTTTGGGAAGCTTGAAGACAGTACTCAGGCCCAGAATTCAAGCCCCAGGACCAGTAGAAAAATAACTTTAGCACTTTAATTTCAGTACCTTAGCTTCAAACGTGTCAATGCACAAACTTATTAAATTGCCATTAATTAAAAATTGTTATATTTTAAAAAATCATGCTGGGTACATTGCCTCCCAAATGTAATCTAGCTACTCAGCACAAGGATACCCAGATGATCACAGCTCTAGATCAGCCCAGGCAAAAATGTCCCAAGACCTCATCCCAACGAATAAAATCATGGGCACAAAACTGCATGCTTGTTATTCCAGCTTTGTAGAGGAATTAAATAGGAGGATCGTAGGCCAGACCATCCCTGGCATAAACATGAGATCCTATTCACAAAATAACTAAAGCAAAAAAACTGGGGATGTGGCTCAGGTGGGTAGAGCATCTATCTGCCTAGCAGGTGTCATTTCCTGAGTTCAAGACCCAGCGCCACAAAAGGAATTTAAATCATAGCAAGCCTACGTGAAAATGTGATTTGCTAAACTACAATTTAATGTTTATTGTGCTATTCTTATTTCCTGTTTTATTCCATGGACACTTTTACACACTTACTACACTTTTTTTTCGTAAAAGTATGTTTAGAAATCTCATTAGAAGTGAGGCTTAAAAGTTTAACTATAAATAACAAATGTCATAACAGCACAACACTAATCACCCAATGTGTGATCAGTGTATTCTTATAGATTCCTTAAGTTCCTCCACAGTTATAAAAACTTAGGACCTGGGGAAAAGTCAGAGAATATTAGAATTAGGAAGGAAATCTGGGTGTAGCTTGCACCCATAAGCAGCAGAGCCTCCTCATTCTCCTTTGAAAAGGTTTTTCAGATTGAAAGGTTTATCAGAAGCATGAGGTAAATAACTTTTCTTACCATTGCACAGTTATTCCCTGAATTGCATGACAGTTCAGTTTGATAGCTCCATCATTGAGATATTATTATTCAGATCACTGATGAATATGTTCAGAGACCAAAATCCAGGTGAGTTTATCAGCGAACATGAAAGCAGGTTAATCCTGCTTTCCTAATCTTCCTAAATCCTCCTAGAGCATTTGAAACTTGTAAAATATAGTCACATTACAAATGTCTACAGAAATTGGAGAATGTTAATTATCCTATCTTGTAAAATAAATATTAACTTGAATGTAGCTCAGAATGGTTTTGGAAGACTTGAGTTAGTACATATAATGAAATAATTGAAAGACTAGAATGGAAGGGATGTTAATAAAAATGACTTGATTTTCCTCAGCTGCTTTCAAGATTGTGAAAAGCTGGCTTGGCCCAGAAGCAGTGAGTTTGTTGAAGTTCACAGGTAAACATGACATCCAGGACTACGTCAGCGTAGAGTACCTGCCTCCTCACATGGGTGGAACTGTAAGTACAGTCCTTGAAACGTGTTTATGAAATAATGCAGGATAATGGCACATTAGACTGTATTCTTTCCTCCAGGAAAATGAATCTTGATCATAGATACCCCAAAGTTGGAAGCAATGCTTCAAGCATTTTTCTCATTTTAAGTTTCAAAGTTAAAGTTATACTTCTGCATGAATAATATATTTGTATGGCTCTAAACTAAAGAGTATTCAGTGTTCAGGAGATTATTCAGAAACAAGTCTTTAATAAAATGTCTCTTCCTATTCTTATCCCAAATCCCTTATATAACTCCAGGAATGTATATTGCATATTAGAGCAAGCAAATATGTATAATTCTTCCTCCCAACTCTACTATTTACATATTGTCTCATACATTGGATTTTTTTCTTCACAACACATTTTAGAGATCATTTCACAACAGTGTTGGGCAAATTTCTGCACTGTTGCATATTATTTCAGCATCAAAAAGAAGTTACTAGTTTTTAAATTTCCCTTTGATTTTCTTCCATTTTTTTGTTGCTCACCAGGTTTTTCCAATTATTTATTTATTTCAATTTAGCATATGCTGTCAAAGTTTTGGAGTTTTATATTATTTTGTTCATTTCTTTTTGTTTTGGATACTAGGAATCATCCAAGAGCCTCATACATGCTAGGCAAGCACTCTACTTGCCTAGATCCCGTTTTTTTTTTATATTTTAGTTGAATATCAAAACTTTTTAAGTTTTTTTTTATTGTAAAGCTACTGTAGAGAGGGCTTACAGTTACATGAGTAAGGTAATGAGTACATTACTTGTCGAGCATTGTTACCACCTCCTTTGTTTTTCCCCTGCTATCCCTTCCTTCCCCACCTCCCCAACTCCTCCATCCCTCCCTTCAAGTTGTAAAGTTCATTTTCAACATAGTGTCGTGTACATGTCATTCTTACAAGATTTTTTATAACTAATTGTTTCCACTGACAACTAAGAAAGATAAGAAGTGGGTTCTGGGAAAATTTTAATACTGTGTTTAGGGTGTAGTGATGCACACCCGATACACACTATAGCACTTGGGAGTCTAAGGAAAAAGGCTATGTAGTAAAGACCTTGTTTCAAAAAATTGGTATATAACAATGAAACTTTATGTGATAGTGACTTTTTAAAAAATAAACTGTATTTGGGCACTGGTGACTCATGCTTGTAATATTAGCTACTCAAGAGGCTGAGATCTGAGGATTGTGATTTGAAGCCAGTCCAGGCAAAAAAGTCCAGACTGTTATCTACAATTAACCACCAAAAAAGCCAGGAGTGGACCTGTGAGCACTAGTCTTGAGCAAAAGCACTTAGGGACAATGCCCACACCCTGAGTTCAAGCCCCAGGACTGGCACAAAAAAGTATACATACATACATACATACATACTTACCCAAACTGTATAAACTATAGATTTGGTATGTTTTTGGTTAACCTGAAAATATTTTAGTTATTTAATTTTTATAATCTGCTTTGTATGCTACCTGCCTGGCAAAAAGTGTATTCAAGAAGAAGCAAAGACAAGCAAGTAGAATAATTTTGGTATGTCCTTCTGTTTTCTTTGACCAGGGAAAACATGAATCACAATTTTAATTTGATGTGTTCTGCTTTATTATTTTGAGACTTTATATTTTACATTTTAACCTAGGAAAACTGAGTATTGTTCATTCCAGATATTACACTTAGTTTGTAGTACCTTGTATCTGAAAATTGTAGTTATTGTCTTAGTATTTTCAATACTTTGCCTCTAAAATCATCATACCTTAAAAATAATAACATTTAGTACAGTTGTTGTTACTTTTTGTTGTTGTTTTTGTGCTGGTACTGGGGATTGAACTCAAGGCCTTGTGCTTTCATTTAGCTTTTTTGCTCAAAGCTGTTGCTTTTCTGCTTGATCCACAGCTCCACTTGCAGCTTTTGCTGGTTAATTAAATATAAGAGGCTCATGGACTTTTCTGCCTGGGCTGGTTTCAAACCAACATTCTCAGATCTTAGACATTCTTAGTAGCTGGGATTATAGGCATAAGCCTCCAGTCATGGCCTTAAAAAATTTTTTGGCAGGGCACTGTTGGCTAATGCTTGTAATCGTAGCTACTCAGGAGGCTGAGATCTGAGGATCGTGGTTCAAAGCTAGCCTGGGCAGTAAAGTCCGTGAGACTCTTATCTCCAATAAACCACCAGAAAACTGGAAACGGTGCTGTAGCTCAAGTGGTAGAGCACTATCCTTGAGCTGAAGAGCTGAGGGACAGGGCACAGGCCCAGAGTTCAAGCCCTACAACCAACAACAACAAAAATCAATGTTTTTGTTTCTTTGCTTGCTTGTTTGTTGTGTTTCTTTGCCAACTAATGGTGGTGGTAGTTGATTGATTGATGAACATTTTGTTTGCTTTCTTCTGTTTTTGATACTATCTTTGTAGTTGTGATTTGTTTTGATTTGTAGAGCTAGGGATTGGGCCCAAGTCCTTGTACATGCAAGGCAAACAGTGAATCCCATCCCCACCTAATTATTAATGTTACTGTGCATACTGAGATTTATGCTATGTGTACAAAGACTTTCCTTCTTAGTGGTTTTTTTTGTTTTGTTTTGTTTTGTTCTTTGTTTAGGTTTATTTTGATTTTTCTGAGAAAAGTTTACTCTATGTAGCCCATAGTGAACTTGCTATGTTCCTGAGTCTGGCCTGAAACAAGTTTTTAACCATCTTTTTGGTGTAAAGAGTAAGCTATATTTAACTTGATTCTCTAGGTAGATAGCTTTTGATTGTCTCACATTATTTGTCTCTTTTCCTTTCTGGAACATAAGTAATTCTCTTGTTACAGCCAAAGCAATAAATTTGAAATGTATTACAAAAGAATTATTTATTTCTCTACATATCAGCAGGCCAATACAGAAAAGTAATCTTAGCAATATTGGGATTTGAATTCAGGGTCTTGAACTTAACAGATTTTCTACCACTTATAATCTCCCCCAAACACTTTTCCCTGGTTATTTTTGAAATAAGGTGTCAATTTTTGCACAGTCCAACCTAGACCTCTTATTTACACTTTTCCTGGGTAGCTGGGATGACATGTACATAGCATTGCACCCATTTTTTCTCATACTAATATTAGGTCTTAGACTCAGGACCTCACTCTCTTGAATAGCATTTGTGCTCACAGCTTGTGGTCTACCACTTGAGCCACACCTCCACTTCTGATTCTTTGTTTCCTAATTGGAGACACACTTACCCAGACTGCCTCCAAACTGGGATTCTCAGATCTCAGCCTCTTGAGTAGCTAGGGTTATAGTTATGGCATACCTATGTCCAGCTTGTGCCCAGCGTTTATTGGTTGTAATGGATGTCTTGTTCCTGGAACCATAATCCCACAATCTCTTGCTTCTCAAGTAGCTAGGATTCCAGGTATGAGCCACTGTGCCTGGCTCACAAATTCTTTTCTTTTAGGATCCTTTTAAGTATAGCTACCCACCACTAGTGGATGATGACTTCCAGACACCTTTGTGTGAGAATGGACCGATTGCCAGTGAGGATGAAACGTCAAGTAAAGAAGATATAGAAAGTGATGGTAAAGAAACCTTGGAAACCATTTCTAATGAAGAGCCAATACCTCCTCTTAAGAAGGTAATTTTATGAATAACATAAACCTGAATTTAAAAGCCGTGGTGTAACATCTATTCTGTCAGTAGCTGAGTTGGCTCTGTAATTTGGGGTAATTCAGTTTACTTGCTACCCTTCCACATCTTCGTGTATGGAAAGAACAGATTGGATGAGTTAGTTGACTTGGAATACAGCTTCAGTGTAAAAGAGGTGGATCCCATGTTTTGTGTAACACTTGAAGGAATAGTTTTTGTCTGGTGTGTGTGTGTGTGTGTGTGTGTGTGTGTGTGTGGTGTGTATGAGAGAGGGAGAGAGAGAGAGAGAGATGGTAGTAGGGCTTGGAACTCATGCTCCTCGTGCTCTGGCTCAGCTTTTTGCTCATGGCTGATGTTCTGTCATTTGAGCCAGGCCTCCACTTTTGGCTTGGAGATAAGAGTCGCAGACATTCCTGCTTGTGCTGTCTTCCAATTGTAATCCTCAGATGTCAGCTTCCTGAGTAGCTAAGATTACAGTCAATCTATACTTTTTATTTGCCTAAGATAAAAATGAAAGTGTTTACCTTGATCTAGTTCCTATTTCATTTTCATAAATTTTCATGTTTTTGATGAATAAATATCAACATGCTATCAATAAATTATAACATAAATATTAGAATTAAGAATGTTTAAAGACTCTGAAGGGAATGATCATGTTATATGTTCAACAGTAACCTGCTTGTAGTAGACACTCAGGTATGCATTCAAGGTCATATTCATATATGTTAAATGTATCATTTAAATATAATAAATCTATGTTAAAGACAACAATTTTAATTGAATCAAAATGTTTTGTTTGTGGGCCCAAGGACCTGTCTAACAGTGTGAAACTAAAATATCTTTTAACTTTTTTTGTTTTTGTTTATGTTTTGTTTTCTATTTCAATCTTTAGGTTAGCTCAACTGAATACACTTCCAAAACAGATGAAACAGAAAAAGGTGATTCTAAGATTAAATCTTTCAAAAAACCCCTGAGTGTATTTAAAGGACCCTTATTACACATCAGGTAATAAAACTTTTATTGGCTTTACTGTCATAACATATCTAGATCAGCTTGCAGGGTGAGGCTACAAAATTGAAAATTTCTGTACTATTTGTGAAATGGTGAAAATAGAAAATTAAGAGTTATATGAAGGCTGTCCTTGATTTTCAGGCTTTTTAGGTACTTTTAACTAAGTTTTTATTTCTTCTGTTGAGTATGTGTAAAGGGCCTTCATCACATATTAGATAATAAAAGTGAATATCCATATCTTAATAAATATTTTTCTCATATTACTGATGCTAGTGCATCAGTAGAAATGCCACTAAAAATGGCATTTGTTAACTTCATCTTCTGAAAAGCCTAAAGTGAACTATAAAAAATAGATTTTTTTTACTATAAAGTCCCTTTTCAGCACCTGTCCATTTCTATTGCTGAGTTACCTAAGATACAAAGTGGTAGAGCACTTGCCTGCCACACCCAAGGACATGGGTTCTAAACTCAGGCTCTCAAAAATGATTTAGCATTGATTTAGCATTGTCTGAAGACCTGTTTCCAGTGTTGCTCTTGGTTGGTAAATCTATTTAGCCCTATATTGATATTTAAAGGCAGTAGGTGATAGTCTATATTACATAGAATTTTCTGCTCCTTACCTGAAACTTTTCTTTGTAACTGTTTTAGGTTTGTATCATATCAGCCATACAACTAGGCTTTTTAGGAGAGCATCCACTTGAACCATCTTGCTAGTCCATTAACCAGACTTTTACAAAATCAAATCTGAAGATTCTTCAATTGATAGGATGCATTTGTTTACATATGTTTTGGTTACCTTTGTCATTGGATTTATTTCTACTGTCTGTATATGTATGTGAGTGAGAAAAACAGACATACACCTACATTTTGTTTCCTATGATTTTTTTTCTTTACCGTTTCTTCCCTTGGCAGTTTGGGTTTTGTTTGTGCTCATTTTTCCCTCCACTTGTTCGGAAGTCACACAGTCCATGTTTTCACAGGAGGCCTGTCAAAAGATAAATCCTAATCTGTTACTGTTGAGGTTTGACCAGAAGAACAACTAGGAAGAAAGGCTGGCTGTAGTGGGACAGCTTCCAGGGCTGCTCTTTGGCTCTAACCTTGCTGCTTGCACCCCCTGCAGAATCACAATGCTACTCCTGCATATGCAAAGGGTCAGGCTAATACTCATCTCTCCAGAAATGCTCACAATTTGTATGCTGGTTACTGAGAGCAACTCACCTGTCTCTTCTGTAGCTTAAGATAGTCTCTAAAGTGGGTGCCAGTGACTCACACCTGTAATCCTAGCTACTCAGGAGGCTTAACTCTGAGGATTGCAGTTTGAACCCAGTCCAGACAGACAAATCTGAGAGACTATTGACTATTGTCTCCAATTAACCACCAAAACGTGGAAGTGGAGCTATGGCTCAAGTGGTAGAGTACTAGGCTTGAGCAATATAAACTCAGGAACAGTGCCCAGGCCCTGAGTTCAAGCCCCAGACCCAGTATATAAACATACACACACACACACACACACACACACACAAGATTAGGCTCTAAAAGGAAGCCAACAAGCATGCTATTTTACCATCTTGTCCAGAGGGTTCTTAGGTCCCTAAGACATGGGCATTACTTATCTAAAAATCATTCAATATAAAGATATATCTGAAAGTCTAAGGTTTGTTAAAGAGTCTCTTTAATTGGACGTAAGAGTTTTATGGGATTTCCTGCCCAGGATGGCTTTGAACCATAATCCTTAGATCTAAGTTTACTGAGTAGATAGTATTTCAGGTGTGATCCACGGGCACCTTGCTATCTAATACAGTTTGACTAAGATGATTAAACTACACAAAATGTGCTTGAATCTTTATTTTTTTATCTTAGGTTATAGGCATTACAATAGTATTAAATACTAGCAAAATTTGAATGTTGAAATTTGCTGATTTTGCTATTTAATTAAAGTTCTTCCTTGGGTTCCCACTCCAAAATTTTTTTGCCTGTTTTGTGCCTTCTCTGTTATGTGGGAAGGCTGTTGTATAGCCAGAAATTAATCTCTTACTTAGATACTTTCTTAATTTCCCTTTTTACGTTATGCTCTTTTCTGTTAGCCTAAAACCATGCATACATTGCCCTAATCTGCTTATAACTAGGGAATGTTGAAACAGCAATACATTCAGTGCTTTGTTTATAATCCCTAGTCATCTGACATGTTTAAATAAATGCACCTTAAGATTGTGTTGATTATAAGATTAATTCAGATGCTTCTTAATTCTTCCTCTGTTCTTTCCTATTTTACTTTTGACCTTAGGGAAAAACTATAGGGATTTTTCATGCTTCCAGCATGCACTGTCTCAGTAAGATTAAAATACAAAATTGTATAAGTTAATTGTTTTGTAGTCTTCTTTTTTAGAAGACGCTATATAAATTAGCATAAAAGATTAAATTTTTCCAGTTAATATTTACATTGTTATTTGCTCTGAGTAATGCAAATGCCTTTTGTTCCTGTCACCTCCTAGTCCAGCAGAAGAACTATATTTTGGAAGCACAGATTCTGGAGAGAAGAAAACTTTAATAGTGCTAACAAATGTAACTAAAAATACAGTGGCATTTAAGGTAAATATCTTTTTTTATTTTTTTATTTTTTATTTTTTGTGAACATACTGTACAGAGGGGTTACAATTACATGGGCAAGATAATGAATACATTTCTTATCAAGCATTGCAGCCTCCTCCTTTGTTTACCCTTCACATCCCTTCTCAGCCTCCCCCCACCCCCCCTAAGGTAAATATCTTAACAACATAACAAAGTATGATATGGGATGTGCTTTAGTATATAACCTAATTGAAAGATTAGTAATTGAATAATGAACAATTTTTATAGCGATTGAACATTGCATAATGTTTCACTTTTGTTTTTTTGAGGCATGTCATACTTCCTTCTAGTTCTAAGTGGCATAGATCATCTAAAAGTTTCCTGGGATCTGTATCTCAGTCTTTATGTAACTAACGGATTACTATCCAGATTAATTCTGGAATTTAATGTTTGTTGCAAAAAATGCTGAAGAAAAGCACTGTTCATTATATGAATTATTTAATCACATTTCTTCCTCCTGTATGGTAGGTTGTGGAGTGTGGTTTATTTTATCAGTAACATGATACTGGCTATGATGTGTAAATGTGACAGCAGGTGGGCATGGTAGCTTGCCTCTGCAATTCCAGCTATGAGATCAGAGACAGAAGGATCACAAGTTCTACAACAAAGCTTGGGCAGACTTAGTGCTAGAGTACTTGCCCAGCATGTACAGTCTCGGTCGGGTTCAATACCCAGTACCTTAAGAAGTATAACCAGATCAAGTCCGCTGCCATTTACATACATAGTAGATGTTCCTTAATCTAGTATTTCTTAGAGTCACTAGATTGTTCTGGATGTGCTTTGATAAGTGCACAGTTTTTAATTTCTGCACATGTGCATTCTGTTTTGTGAATTTACATCATTACATTCAGACTACTAGCAGTAGGGTAAGTATTTAGTGGATGGGTTCATTTGAAGGGTTTCAGAAAAAGGCTGTGTGATAGTAGGACTTATAAAAGAAGCAAAAGCTGTTTTTTTAAAGGTATGTCTTAAACCATCCCTCTACCATCCATGTTGGTACCATACAGATTGTTAAGTGACTACTGTTTCTGAACAGGTGAGAACAACTGCTCCCGAAAAATACAGAGTGAAGCCAAGCAACAGCAGCTGTGATCCTGGTGCATCAGTCGATATAGTTCTGTCTCCACATGGGGGTGAGTGTCCCTGGGTGACCACGGTAGATGTGCTAGAGACTGGGGACCCAGATCCTGTTGCTGAGTCTGCAGAGATTTGGGGCTAAACTTTAGAAATCAGCAGAGTATCAGCAAGTCACCTGGCCTCACTGTGGACATCTTTCTCACACATAAAAAAGGAGATGCTCAAAGGGGTTTACAAAACCCTCCCAGGGACTGGGAAAGTGGCTCAGTGGTAGAGTGCTTGCTTTGCATGCCTGAGACCCTGGATTCGATTCCTCAGACCACATAAGCAGAAAAGGCTGGAAGTGGCGCTGTGGCTCAAGTGGTAGAGCGCTTGCCTTGAACTGAAGAGCTGAGTGACAGCGCCCAGGCCCAGAGTTCAGGCTCCACGACTGACCGGAAAAAAAAAAAACCCTCCAAGCACTGAAATGTAATTATTTTTTTAATGAATGAAGTTGTTTAAGCTGACCCCAATTGAAATTAAATTTCAAAGGACCAACATTTCTCATGCTCAGGATTTTCTCAGTGTTTGAAGTAATTCCTTTTCCTTAATTTTTTAAATTAATCTTGCATTATAGAATAATGCCTTAAGCCAAATGCCCAGCCTGTTGTGATGACTTGTTTATATGTTAAATTATCCTTCTGGATTATAGGCTTAACCGTTTCTGCCCAAGACCGATTTCTGATAATGGCTGCAGAAATGGAGCAGCCATCTGGCACTGGGCCAGCAGAATTGACTCAGTTCTGGAAAGAAGTTCCCAGGAACAAAGTGGTAGAGCATAGGTAAGCTTTTTGTACTCCCAGGATTCCAGGTGTGGTGGAAGAATCAGAAATAGAGATTTGCCTTCATGGACAAGGTTCTATCCCTTTCTTCTCAGATCAATAACGTGGAGCTGCCCAGAGATTCATTGTAGGAATATTCACCTATGTGACCAGAATGTTTGTTACAGTATTGTTTGGAAGAGTGAAAGCATGGACAGAAAGAACTCAAGTGGTCACCAGTAAAGCATTTGAATATGTCCATAGTAAAGGCTACTCTGCCGCCATTCAAAAAATACATTAAGTTAGAGAAGTAACTGCTCTTGTGATCTGTTAATAGAAAGTAAATAAATGACAGAAAAATATGTTTTGCATTCTCCTGTTTATAGGGAATTTGTAGATATGTGTGTGTGTGTATGTGTGTAAACAAAAAATCTGCACTAGAGATGTGGCTGGTTTGGGGGTACCACCATTCCTACCCTTTTTTATTTTTATTAAATGATAATGATTCCGGTTTTGTTCATTTTTTTTTTTAGATCATAGGTCTTGAACTCAGGGTCTGGGCGTTGTCCCTGAGCTCTTTTGCTCAAGGCTAGCATTCTACCACTTTGAGCCACAGTGCCACTACCAGTTTTCTGGTGGTTCATTGGAGATGAGAGTCTCATGGACTTTGCTGCCTGGGCTCACTTTGAACCACAATCCTCAGATCTCAGCCTTCTGAGTAGCTAGGATCACAGGCATGAGCCACAAGAGCCCGGCTATTTGTTCACTTCTGTGTGTTTTGGTTTGTGTTGCTAAAGGCATGGCTATGAACAACATTTCTAAAGGTTAAGAAACTAATAATCTTGGAAAATATTCAAGATTAATGTGTGGTTTTTAAAAAAAGGTTCTGAAAATGAGGAAGTTTGATTTTCGTTTTGTTACATAGGAATTGCTTTATTTTCTTTACTGTGTGTTTTACTAGTTACTAAAGGACTTGTTTTTCTGAAACTGTCAAGAGAGGATCACTGGGGGCTGGGAAAGTGGCTCAGTGGTAGAGTGCTTGCCTTGCATGCATGAGGCCCTGGGTTCAATTCCTCAGCACCACATGAGCAGAAAAAGCCAGAAGTGGTGCTGTGACTCAAGTGGTAGAGTGCTAGCCTTGAGCTGAAAAGCTGAGGGACAGTGCCCAGACCCAAAGTTCAGGCCCTATGACCCCTCCAAAAAAAAACGAGGATCACTGTTCTTTCCTAGAAAGTGGAAGGAAAGTCTGGTGGTTTGGTACTGAATGCCCAAGTAAAGCAACATCTAGAAAGGGTGGTTGCCTTCAAATTGTAAGATATTTTCATGATTTTTACTCTATCCCCCCCAAAACCAAAAACTTCCCATTGAATCACCAGGATTGTTAAGCATTATCAACAATCTTTTTCATATATCCATCAAGAAGCTATAGGAGGGATGGGTATGTAGCTCAGTGGTACAACATCTACTTAGCATTTGTGAGGTCCTAAGTTCCATCCCCTAAACTGCAAAATAAATGAAGATAGAAGAGGAATAGATAGTTTTGAGCTGTTCTCTCACTTAACTTGATCCTCAGAAGAGCAAGGAAACCTTTTATCTCTATCCTGTGTTCAGCTTCTTTTTGGACTTTATATTTTCTTTCCCTAAGAAAATTCCATGACGATTTAAAGAAATTGTGTTTCTCTTGGATTTTCATAGGTTAAGATGCCATACTGTTGAGAGCAATAAACCAAACACTCTCACATTAAAAGACAATGCTTTTAATATGTCAGATAAAACCAGTGAAGATCTACATCTGCAGGTAAGTGTCCTTTCTTCCTAACTAAAGCCAGTTGTTACTACTAATCAACACTTTTTCACTGACATGGGGGAAAACCTTTGGCAGAGACACAATGAAAATGCTCTCTTGTTTGTGAAGAAAAGCCAAATAAGAAGTGACAAACAGTGGGTTACTTTTGGCATTGTAACCTTTTAAAAGCTCTGGCCATTTTAGTTTGCAACAGTGATTAAATAGCAAAGCATCAGGTGCTTTGGCAAGTTTCAAAGAATTCCGTCATGCAACAAAGGGTTCCAAGCAGTAGATTTAGATTTGATGGGGGCTGGGCGATGTAGCTCAGCCGCAACCCTAGGTTTGATCCCCAGCATCAGAAAAAAAGAAAGTGGTTACAGTGGAAAGACCAATGGGATGAGTGCTTAGAGTTAGGGTTTCTGTACCTCCAGGAAGTGATTTCTCTGCTCCTGTCTCACTAGAAAATTGGACCTTTGGAAACAAGAGTAGGCACAGACACATCTATCCAGAAACAAACCGAGTGCCTCCCTGCATTTGTAGCCCCAAGCCTTTCAGGTCAGATGGGCCCCATCCCTTCAATGTTTGAATTCTAATAATCCTATTCATCATTCCCAGCATTAATACTTGTTTTATTAATATAAATCTCTCATTCTTTTTTTTCTTCTCTTCAGCTCAATCGAGTATTAGAAAGCAATAGGAAGCTTGAAGACCAAGTTCAGCGTTGTATTTGGCTCCAGCAGCTGCTACTTGCCTTAACTGTGCTCTTGCTTGCTTTTGTTGTTTCTTTCTTTTATTCATTGAACAGCTAAAGATGTGGCTTCTTCATTCGTGATTTGGAAAAAGTAACAGACTCCAAATTTCCCAACCAAGCTACTAATAACATTGCACATCTGCTCTTTCCAAAAGAAAATGTGCAGCACGTACATGGGAGCAACACATACTTGTCTTGAAAATAAATTGTTTGAATAAAGAAATGTTGCAGAGTAAGTAAAACTATATGAATTGTGTAAACTACTAGTTTAATTTTAATTTATTTTCCCTTCAATTTGAAAACTTAAAAAGCTTAAGTTCAATCATGTAAATACTTTAGCTGAACTGAAAAGGACGAGTAACATGCTTTGTTGCAGCCAAAAAATAGGTAAACTGCTTTTTTATGACAGAATTAATATAGCTGAGCCCACTTACTAGCTTTTCTATACGATGTATATAAAGGAACCTGTATATTAGAAAGAGGAAACTACTTAGAGTAATTTATGTAATCATGACTTTGTACTTTGAGAATTCCTTCCAGATGATACTCAATATTCTTTTGGAATGTAAACCTATTTAATGCCAAACCACCTTAGCCTTTGTTTCTCAGTGTTCCTGAACAGCCTGCCTCTTAATTAATCCTGGGCTTTTTAATGAACACTCTTTTAACTTCGGTAGAATGTAGAAAGTGAAGCATGGTTGGCTTTTTTAAATTATGTTAGAATGTCCACAAAGAAAGTCTCTCCAAACCATCCCCCTTTCCCAATAAGTCTATGCAGCTTTGGGTTGTCCACTGTGGCTGGACACTGTTCCTTACATAACTTACTATAAAGGCCTGATTCTCCATTCTTCCATCTTCACCTTCATGCAGAGAAGGAGAATCTTCACCTTCATTTCTAAATGAAAGGCATTAGACAACATTTTTTAAAAGCCATTTTTTGTGCCAGTACTGAGGCTTCAACTCAGGGTCTGGGCGCCGTCCCTTAGCTTTTTTGCTCAAGGCTGTCGCTCTCCCACTTGAGCCACATCTCCAGTCCCAGCTTTTTGCTGGCTAATTGGAGATAAATGTCACATGAACTTTTCTGCCCAATCTGGCTTTGAAACACAATCCTCAGATCTCAGCTTCCTGAGTAGCTAGGATTAAAGCCATCAGCTACTGGTACCTGGCTTGAAAAGTCAATTTTTTTGAGATGCTAAGCAGTGTAATTACTTTGGGTACAGAATTTTCCTTGTTCATATCAGCCTTGGGAAGGAAGCATAAAATGCTGGGATTTCTGTAAGGCCAAAAAGAAAACACACACACACACACACACACACACAAAACCCTAAGAGCTTGAGTGTTAGCTTGTGCTTAGAGAATGGATGGACTTTAAAACCTTCAAAGCAAATGGACTTACTTGATACTCTGCCTTTGGTATGATAATACCTACCTGGAATGGTCCCTAAAGTCTTAAAAAAGATAGACCTTGCAGAAGCAGAGGCTAATGAAGTCTGTTTTCTCATTACTATGACTGCTTTCAGTCCCTTTGGACTCACATGTATATCTGCTTTTTATGCGAGAAAATATAGTCTGCCTGTAAAATAAATGTTAAGTTCTGATTGAATCATGTTTGGAGATTTATTATTATTCTGAGGTTAAGTGTCGACTTTCATGTTGAAGAGATTGATTCGGTAACTGAGTTGTGAAGAATAATAGAATGGAGTCCTTGAAGATTGGCCTAGGAAATAAAACCTTAAAAGGACACTGGCATGATCCTTTGTCTTAATTTAGCTTGTTTTTGTTCGTTTGTTTTTTCTATTTGCCAGCTCCAAACATGAAGCAGAAGGCCAGTCTACCCTAAGTACTGGGTATAGTAACCCTGTGAGCATGCATGGCTTCCTCCTTACATGGTGGGTTTGGGGCCTTAATATAATTAGCCCAAAGGACCTATATATGTTTTTCATTCCTTAGCAAATAAGTGAGAAATTAATTAGCCAAGATGGGAAATGTCTTGATCTGACAGTGTCCCTTTAATGTTTTATCTAAAGATGACATTAGCTCACTAAAATATCCTTGCTTGATATCTTGTCAGTTGAATTTAGTAACAGACCTTGTTAATGTTTGTGTGTCTTTTAAACGTGACTAACCAGATTATTGAAAATTAACCATAAAATCAAAAGCATCTGAACTTTTGGACTTGTCTTGATTAGTCATAAGATATTTATATTTAATTGTATGCTGTCTTTATTTGGTTTTATTTGGTCACATTTGCATGATTATTACTTTGGTACCTTGATCAATCATTTTATTTTTAATCTTGTCTTTACTTATTCATGACCAAATTACCAAGGACTTCTGTTTAGATTTAGACTTTTGGTTTCACTTGAGGAATAAAAATTAATAGATTTTCCATGGAAACATCAATGAATACCATTAGTTTAATCTGCAAGTAGCCTAAGATACAATTGCTGGTAAGCTTAGCCTCAAATTTCATATCATAACCCTGTTTTATATCTTATCACTAATTTTGACTGGATTTAATAGCACTTTATTGTACGATTATAAAAGATATATTCCTAGAAATGTTGCCAGTGTAATTTCTCTAATGTTCTGGTGCTTTTCATATATTTTAAGTATTTTTATTACTATATTGGTATTTTCTTTGTATAAATTGATCAACAAAACATGTTTTCTATTTTAATATGTTTTAGAAAAATAATTACATTTATGAAATAAATATCATCAGGATAAAAAAACCTCTGGTCTGTAATTGATAAAACATTTTTTAAAGAGGGTAGTAATTCCTTTCAAATCTGTTTTGCATTTTGATTAGAACAGCGCTTCAGGCTTCCAAACAAGCAGTTCCTATGTCAGGTGAGCCAGTCCTTTAATGCGCCCTAATTCTCCTTGCTCCTGTGTGAAGTCTGGCTGCTGTTTCAGGCTCTTCCTGCCTTGGTCCTCATTGTTAAACGCATCCCTGAAGCTAAAATGAGTCTGGATTGCCCCATGGACACTCACACCACCCTGCCCCTTACATACCTTCCTGCCTGATGGGAAAAGCATCCGCTGCCTGCCAGGCATATGGAAGAGTGGAGAACCCCATTGAAAGTTCCCAAATTAAGTGTAGGGCCCAGCCTAGGGCAAGATGGGGGGAGGGGGAGGGCAGCCAAGCCTGGTGAGAGAAGAAGCCTTATGGTCCCATAAGCAATGGAAGACGATGTTCTGAAAGCCATCACTGAAAAAATTAATTAAGACAGGATCTTCTACACTGAAAAAGAAAGGGTAGAAGTACGAAATTGGGTTGGTAAAGAAAACAATCTATCTGATCAAACCCAAATCAACAACATACAAAGTACCACACACTAGCATGGGAGTGATGTTTCCTAAAGGACAGGTTCTGGCAAGAACAAGTTCTTCTAGGGGACATCTTTGCTAGGAAATATTGATTACAGGATCTTCAGGTCTTTTTTTCCCCCTCTGAATTTTCACTTATCAAAACTAGGTTTCCTCACATGTGAACTATCAGCCTCCAGAAGTGTGGGACTGACCCCCGCTCCCTGGTCCAAGGGACAGACTGGCAATTGGCAATCTCCCCCATTTGCTCTGTGAATGGCGGTTGGGGAGAGGGATCTGAGTCCTACTTGTGTCTGCCTCTTACTTCCTGGGTGACTTGGGAAAGTCAAAGTGAGTCATCCTACTCCCCCTGCCAGTGCAGAATAGGTGTGAGGATGAGAGGAAATAATACGCTTACACTGACACTGTTCTCATTCTACTGACTTATTGCCTCCACTGCCTTCCATCCCAGTTTCCCAGAACTTGCTTGTGACACTTGATCTTGCTCAACATTTCACCACACTATATAAAACTAAATATCAGTTCTCTAGACTTTTCCCTGCTTCGTTTTCCTGCTTCTGTGTTCTTGGCACCCCAGTAAGACCTCATCAGATCTTTTACAAGCATCTTAATTTTATCTTTGTGTTTAAAAAATGACTTCTGTAAAGTCCAGTCTCATAACTCATCTACTCGACTAATGTCTTATGAGGAATACAACTGATTTTTCTGTACATGTTAAAATATTTGAAGATAAGCCAGGCCCTGGAGGCTCAAGTTGTAATGTTAGAGCTACTCAGAAAACAGATCTTCAGATCATGGCTCAAAGCCAGACTGGACAGAAAAGTCCATGAGACTTTTCTCCCTATCCGTTTAAGATACATGGACATCATTGAGTCTTTCTAGAGTGTGAATTTGATCCTTGAAATAGTCGTTCTCCAAACTCCTTTGCCCTCAGCAATCTGTGAATATGTAAACCCTCATTTGTTTTTAGACAGATAAGGAAAACAAAGGTCTAGGAAGTCATTTTTCCCCTGTCAATTTTAACCTTGTGCTGATGGCTCACTCTAGTAAGCCTAGCTACTCTGGAAGCTGAGATCTGAGGTGTTTGTTGAAAGCCAACTCAGGCAGACAAATCCTTGAAACTCATCTCCAATTAACCACCAAAAAGACAAAAGTGGGTGTAGTTCAAGTGGTCGAGCACCGGTCTTGAACAGAAAAAGCCAACTGAGAGAGCAAGACACTGAGTTCACTCCCCATTGCTGACACACAAAGTTAACTTGGTTTAATCTTGCCTGTCATAACCAGCCAAAGTTTAAGTGTCTGAGTAGTTGGTTAAAATGGTAGGTCTGACAGATCTTTACATTCTCTGAATAGTCCAAGAAGGAAACAGAATGAAAAGTAATCTTAAAGTGAACTGGGTGATAGAATAGCTACTCTCACAATGCTTGGTTAGAAAAATAAGATTCTTGGTTTTCTAAGCTACAGATGGAACTTTGAAGACTGTGTGTGACCCAAAGTTACTGTGATGGAGTGGGTTGATGTGCTCTGCTCAAGGGAATCTAGAAGGGTGTGTTGTCACTGGTTGTCACAGAACTGTAGCCTACTGACCTGAACAAGTTTTGCATTTAATCAGATTGGAACAGGTATTAATTTCCTGTTCCCATAATACACATCTCCACATATTTGGCAACAGAAAACAGCACACATTTACTTTCCCTAGTTTCTATGGGTTGAGTCTAGCCCAGTATGACTGTTTTTAGCTCAGGCTCTCATAGGTCTGAAAGTTCCAGCTTAATTGTGTCTTCCCTGGAGGCTCAAGTGGGTAAAGATCCAATGTGAAATACATTGAACTTGTTGAAATAGTTCATTTCCTCATAACTAGAGGACCAAATGTGTTGATTTCTCATAGACAAGG